AGTGGAGGTTAAGGAGGAAATCTAGAAACTTAGGGTTATTTTTCTCAACATTGCAAGTGCGTATGGGACCCAGAAGCCAGGTTCTGTTCCATTCCCCATCCATTTGTATTGGGAAATTTTCTTCCCTACTCCTTCTTTCTTTGTTGTTGTTGTTTTCCAGCATGGAAAAGAGATATAGCCATTTAAGCCAAGTCAGTCAGTCAATAAGCATTTATTAAGCACCTACCCTGTGCCAGACAGTGTGCTAAGTAAGCAATGGAGATAGACAGAAAGACAAAAGACAGTCCCTACCCTTGAAGAGTTAAGTCTTAACCATTTAGCCAACCAATTTAGATAATTCCAATGGGAAGAAATGCCTTTGCTTATTGTTTTACTGTGGATTCTGAATGATCTGGATGTCAACTCCCTACTTTTCAGTGGACCTGGATAGAGTACTGGACCTGAAGTCAGGAAGACCCCAGCCCCAGACACTTACTAGCTGTGTGTGCTTGAACAAGTCACTTAACCTCTGTCTACCTTCTTCATCTGTAAACTAGGGCTAATAATAGTACCTACTTCCTTGGGGTTGTCATGAGAATAAAATAAGATAATATTTGTAAAGTGCTTAATAAATGCTAGCTATCATTATTACTATTTCTATCAACAACAATGGCAATCCATAGCATGCTTTTTGTTAAGTAGAAATGAATTGAGGAGGAAGACGGGAGACCTCACATGTGGTTACTGATGTGGGAGATGAGTTGTTCAATGGTCTTTCTCCTCCAAGGGGGCTCTTCCATCTGACTACACAAGAAATCATTTCTTGCAAGCTCTGTGCTCTCCTTCCTGAGCCACCAGTGGGAGATAATCTTTGAACAAGACTGGCTTTTCAGCTTTCCATCAGTGCTCAGAGGCATGGGTTATCAAACAACTCCGTGGCAAAGCTTGGACTTCAAACTTCTTGCTGTGTGACCCTTTGCAAGTCTTTAACCTCTCCCAGACTTGGTTTCCCTATCTGTGTAACAGAGTACTCACAGGGTTTTTTTCAGGATCAAATGAGATAATATATATATGGCTCTTTGCAAACATAAAAGTGTTATATAAATGTTAGGTATTCTGCAAAGTGCTTTGCAAACTTCAAAGTGCTTCATAAATGTCAGTTATCATTATCACCTTCTTTGGAAGTACTCTTTCCACAGACCTCAAAGCACTCAGTAGAAAAGAGCTCCTTTTTTTTTTTTCCCAAAGAGAAGGATGGAATCTCTTTCAGAAGGGAAAACTGAAGCTAGAGTGCTTGATGAGAGGTGGAATAGAGGATCTTTAAACCTCGGAAGCCCCTCTTTGCCCTAAATTCCATCATCTATGAGTAACTGTCTCCTTCATTCCTGCACCCCTCCCCATCATACAATAATGAATCATTCTACAAGTCAGTGGCAGAGCTGAGAAGAAAATCCATGAGTCCTAGCTCCTAGTTACCAGATAACTCTACTTCTTCAACGACTACTACAGAATCTGAGGTCCTTTCACATTCTTCTTTACAATGCACTATTTGGGCTATCATACAACTATGGTGGCTGTGTCAGTAGCTGCTAGAGTGTAATGTTTGTTAAGCCGAGAGACCAAATTAAATGGAATGGCTAACACCTGAGATGTTTTATTATCAAGACTGCCAGATGTGGGGGAAAGTTTTAAGAGAGTTTGTAAATTCTCCATTCATGCTGTTTCATAACCAGCTGGATTGAAATAGCTTATTAATCTAGTTACTGAAAGCCAGGTCTACACAGGCAAAGTGAAGTTGGGAATTCATAGTGGGACCTAGATCATCTAGGCCTGTATTTTATATAGCAAATCCTGGGTCCAGCCACCCAAGTTAGTGTTTAAAGGTTTAAAGAGGAAAAAGATAAATGACAGTCTAGCTTCGGGAAGTGGAGGGTTGGGAGGAATAGACGGATGGAGGAGGGGAGAATGCTGGTGTCTAAGACTAAGAATCTTCACATAGATTGATGAACATGTTAGATTCAGATAGGGAAACAAACCAGCATCCAATTGGCTTTGGCAGGCTAATTCACTAATAGAACCCAGCTCCCATCTTTGTATATCTTGCAACACTTACTGTCAGTGCTATAGCTTTGGGCATATGTCTTCCACTATTTTTCATTTGCAAATTAACCTCTTCTCTTCAACTTTAATCTCATTAAAAAGAATGAGCAGTGTGTTATTCCTCTTGTGATTCACTCTCTTCTGCCTCAATCCCTATCACTAGGGATGTTTTGTCATCATTCAGCCCTGTGATTTCATTGGTGTAGAACTTGTGCACTTATAGACTTGCCTGGGTGCCCTAAGAGGGTAAATGTCTCACCACGGGCACACAGCTTACTAGATGTGTCAAGGACAGGGCTCGAACTCAGGTCTTCCTAACTTCAAAGCCAGTCCCTCTATCCACCACACCATCCTGAACTTTCATAGGGACTTAGTAAGCTCAAAAAAACTTCTGTTAAAGAAATGCCTTGAGCCCACTCTCTTACATATCCTTGACCAAAGCCCTAGTTATAGGGCAAATAGTGCATCTAAGCTTGTTGTCCAGAGGGATTCTAGGAACTAGGATCGCATGGGTCCAAGAAATGGAATTTCTCCTAGTAAGGGATGAGTAGAAATCCAGATAAAGAATTTAACTCCCATTCCAATTCTGACTCCCCTCCTGAACTTTGCTATTACTGTCAAATAATAACTGCCCACCATCCTATTGGTTACCCAGACTCATAGTCCAGGTGTTATCCTAAATTCCTCATTCTCGCTCATCCCACCACATCTAATCTGTTGTCAAGTGCCTCCTATCTATTCTAGCTTAACATCTCTGGTGTATGCTCCCCTTCTCTCTCGTCTGACATTGCCACCACCCTAATGCAGGCATCTTACACCTGGACTATTGCATTACCCTGCTAGTTAGTCTCCCCGACTCAAATCTTTCCCCACACCAATCCTTCCTCTGCTCAGTTGTCAAATTGTTCTTCCTAAAGTGCAAATCTGACCATGTTACCCCTGTTCAATTAACTCCAATGGCTCCCTTTTGCCTACAGGATCAAATATAAAATATTTGGCATTCAAAGCCCTTCAAAATCTGCCCTCTCTTACCTTCCAGTCTTCTTACACCTTATTCTTCATTCCCAGTGACACTGACTTCCTTGCTATTCCTTGCACAAAACTATCTAAGGACTCTGGGCATTTTCATTGACTGCCTCACATGCCTAGAATACTCTTTCTCCTCATCTATGCTCATTCCTGATCGTCCCTTAATCCTGGTGCCTTCCCTCTGTTCATTATCTCCAATTTATCTTATCTGTATCTTCTTTGTGTATCATTGTGTGTGAGTTCTTCCTGAACAGGGACTGTCTTTTATCTTTCTTTGCATCCGCAGCACTCATCACAGTGCCTGATACATATCGTGTGCTTAATAAATGTTTATTGACTAACTGTCTGACTCTCTGTCAGGTAAGCCTCAGTTCCAAGTGCTAGTGTGGGTCTTCCATCCTGTGATTAGGGTCTCCAATGGTGGTAATGCCTCTAACCTGGTATTTAAACCAATAAGGCTTCAGAGAAGTCTTGGTAGGTTTAATAATGGCTTAATGACTCAGATTGAGGTTAGGAGCTTCTGGTTCCTATTTGGCCTTTATTTACAGCCCAGTTCTGGTTGAAGACAGCCAAGAAGCCCCCTTTAAGCCCGTAGAGAAACAGGGAGGTGTTCACACTAGGACAACACTTGAATGGGAATACAAATAAGAAATGAGAATCAAATTGAAATACAAACAATTCCTTCCTTTCCCCATCACTTTCCTTTAGTTTCTAGAGGCCTTGAAATCAGAATAATTTAATTCTAAGCCAGGTCTCAGGAAGGTGGTTGGAGCAATAAAGTCCTTGCCCCCCAGGAGGCTTCTGCCCAGTTTTCCTGGTTATTAATTTTTTTCCCCTGAAGAATCAAAACCACTGTCTGATTCTCCCTCTTAGTTCTTACTATGAACACACAGTCATCAAGGGAAGAGCTTACTTTGTTAGATCACATTTACCCTTAACATTCTTTCAAAAGCAGAGGGGAGATGCCTGGTGTAGGCAGACGGGTCCAAGCATTCTGCAAGGGCCTCTTCTTTAAGGATAGGCAAGCATTCCAGACCTTGTGGGTCCCCTAGCAAAGAAATTGCTGAGCTTGCCCTCTCCACCTGTCCCAAGGTAAATAGGAAAAATCGGGATTCTCTGAACCCCAATCCAGTGCTCTTTCCACGGTCCCAGCTATCATCATTACAGTCCATATGTAGTCCGGAAGAAGAGGTATCCCCAGAATACCCTCAGTTCTTCTTCCACAGGGAAACAAACGATCTCAAAGCATAGGAGAGCTTTGCGCTAGGCTGTAGATACTACTTAAGTCCGAGGCTTGGGAGCTGCCTCCCTTAGCTGACCCCATCAGAGGAAAGCAAGTACTGAGAGACACGTCTTGCCTTTGCACGGTATCGCTCACTTGTCTAGGGGTCTGTGTGTTTGTGGCGGTGAAGGACCAACTGGACTCTTCTGCTTTCCTGTGTCTGGTCTCTGAGTGTCCCTTAGACCTCAAGGCCAGCTCTTCAGGAAGGCGCGGCTTGTAGCAAGCAGTAAGCAAAGTTCTCCCGTGGTGCCCAGGGCTAGGACTGGAAGGTTGTCCTGCCACGGGCGCTGGCCAGGCAAAGACTAGTGACGGGGATGGGGCAGAAGAAAAAAGGACCCCTCCCAGACCAAGCGCACACTCTGTACCTCCCACCCCACCTCCCATGCAGCTCCCCATTCCGTCTAGGACCTGGGTAAGGGTCGTTCGGTCCTTCCCACACTCCGCCCACAAGCTGCTTTCACCTCGGAAAACTGGGCGCGGGGTGGCTAGGGAAGGACATATCCGGCCTCCGAGGGGTTAATCCCCGCGCGGGGCACCGCCGCACATGACGTGGATAGTTAGTGGATTAAGTCAGGAGGAACGCTATCCCCCTCCCTCCTGCCCCCCGCCCCCCGCGGCGCGCGCCGCTCTTGGGGGCTCCGCGGCCCAGTTCCCAGGTCCCTCCCCCCTTGGCGCGCATATCCCGCTAGGGCAGCGCGAGCCCCAGAGCCGGCCGGCCCGGCAGCCCGTCCCGCGTAAGTGCAAAGGCTCCCCGGCCCCAGGCCCGGGCTCCCAGGAGGCCTGCATGGAGCCCGAGCGCTGCCTGCCTTACGGCGCGGGTCCCGGTGCTTACCCAGCAGCTGCCGACAAGCCCCCAGGACCTCCGCCTCACCTGCACCCAGCTCCGCTCCCCGGGCCGCGGATTGCTCGCTACGCGACGGCCTGCGGAACCCTGGAGCCCTATTCCCCGGAGGCGGCCAAGCCCCCAGCCAAGTACCTGCAGGAACCCGGGCCTGGGCCAGCCCTCAACGGCAGGCGCTTTTACGAGACCCCTGCGGAAGGTAACTGGGGTGGGAGGCTACGGTCGGGCAGGGGACGGACAGACATTAACTAGGGGATGCCGGGCTAAGTTCTGCGGACTCTCGGGGTAGCGAGAAAGCTAGGGACCCGGGGTCCCTCTCTCCTCCCTTCTCCGGGGGCCTCCCTTCCTTTTCTCTCTTTCCTCAACCCTGGAAAGCCCACATTTTCTCCCGTTCACGTTCCGATTCAGAGCCATCCGAAGGGTTTTGTTCCCGTCCCCAAGCCCTCAACAGCCGTTGAAACCTGGATCCGGGAAAGCCGGGTCAGGGAACTGAAATCTGCTTCCACGGGTCTGGTGGGGAGTTTTGAGGACGAAGAAGGGGAAATTCTGTTGGGATTGCAGGCGAAAGCTGCCCGAGGTATGATTGTGGTCGGCCGATTGAGTAGGCTGGGGGGAGTGGCGTGTAAGCCGCCCAAGATCTCTGGACTTCACTGGTCCTGACCATTCAAGACCAGCTCGGCCTGGGGCTAGATGACCCGGGCCTAAGGGAGCAAGTCTTTTGTGTCTCAGCCCCTGCTCTGGTTCTCAGCTCCAGTTTTCCCCCACAAGCCTTCTCTCAGCCCGGGCGCGGGCCGGTCCTCACGTCCCTTCTCCACTCTGCCTTAATTTCTTTTCCCCTGGCCAGCATCAGAAGGGCCTGGCTCTCTAGACAAGCAAGCGACTTGGACTTGTCTCCTAGGGGCTGTTGTTCAGCGGGTTATTCGGCTATTCTCGCCCGCAACAATGGTTTTTTTTTTTTACTGTTTAAATGCTGACTCGCCGAGGTTAGAGTTACTGTCTTGCTGTTTCTACTTTCAACTCTATCTAGGTCCAGGGCACGGGTTTCCCGAATTGGAAAGAGGGATCCCAGTTCCTCCTCGGGATATGCCAGGGCATGGGCTCTCGAGTTGCTTCTCGGTTAGCCGCTTGGCCTTTCTTGGGAGCTTGACTGTCTCCTCTTTCGGCTGAGGAGGCTATCGATCCCAGACTGAGGGGTCATGTCTCAGGAAAGCAGAGCGCGGCACAGAGCAGCCAAACACCCGCCAGTGTCTCTGGACCCGGAGCTTCCAGCTCTGTGACCTCTGGACCCTGGGAAATCTGACCCAAAAAACCCTTTGGCGGAGTCATGAGCGCCCGGAAGGCCCTGGCCTTCACTATACTCCCGTTTGGCTCTCGTCTGAACGTTAGATCTCCGCACACCCTCTTGGAAAACTCCTGCCTGTCTTTTGCGTTTTGCTGAAAGAGCCAAAGAGGCCTGGATCTCAAAACTGCCTGCTGCCAACCATAAGAGAGGAGACGGCCCTCGGAGAGCGTACTCCTCCTCTAGAACCTGTGGCCCAACCAGTCTGAGTTGCCAGAGTCTCGAGCTAGCTCCCAGGCCTGCGCAGGTCCCCAGACGACCCGCCATCCAAACCAAGACAGCCTCCTCGCCTTAGTCTGTGCTTCGTTTCCCCATCCCAGGCTAGGCGCAAGAGAGGGCTGGGGGTCAACTGTAGGAAATGATTGACTCCTCGGTCCTTCATGTCTGCGTTCTTTGAAAGTGGCTCTCCTGATAAAAACCACAGTTGGGACTTAATGAGAAGCAGTTGGCCTGGCTCCTCAGATCCCCGCTCAGACTGAGAGGCCAGCCTGCTTTGTAAACAGTAGAAGTGGAACAGGTACAGCGACCAGCACCGAGGTGGTAAAACCTGGCATGGTACAGCAAAGTGTGGGGGGCAGGGGGGAGCAGACCCAGGAATTTCCCTTTCCCCCGCTTTCCACCTTTCCCTACCCGTAATAGGGCTGTCTGCTTGGCTTCCCGGATCGGCGTTCACGCAATGTTCAGGCCTGGGGAGTCCCCACGCTGTATGTGGGTGATGCAGGGCCAATGAAGGACCAGGGAAATGAGGGAACAATACTACGGCCACAGGCAGCACCTGAGCGTGTCAAAGACCCGAGCTGCAGGAACAGCAAGAAAAGTGAGGGGAGAACCGGGAGAAAACTATCGTCGAACAGTGAGGACGGGAGGAGATTGGGAGAGTGTACGAAAAAACGAAAATTAAAACAAGCAAAAGAAAGATAGCGCGAGTGCCGAGAATGGCGGCAGAAAAAAAAATTTAAAGGAAGACATGAAAGTAGGAAGAGGAAACGAAAGGAAAGAAAAAGAGAAAAGAAAATTAAGGGAAAACAGCTGGAATGGAAGAAAAAGTAACAAAGCAGGAGAACAAAGACCAAAAAAAGAAACAAGAGAGAACGAAAGAAACGGGAAGAAGAGAGGAGATAAAAAGAGAACGAAAGAAAGATGAAAAAGAGGGTGCAGAAGGAAGGAAAAGAGGAACGAAAAGAAGAAAGAAAAAAGAATCAGAGAAGAAAGAAAACAGCGGGCTGGCCTTAACGCTTAAGGAAGAGAGCAAGAAAGAAATACTTCAAAGAAAGAAGGAAAAGAGAAGGATCGAGAAGTGGAAATAATAGGGAAGCCGAGGATTGCCTCGGATAGTCCCGAGACGCCGCCGAAGCGCACGCCTTTTCCGAGGCCGAGAGCATCTGACCTCCCGGCGGTTTGGATGCAGACCCGCAGGAGCCGAGAGCCGGCGGAGAGAGAGCCAAAGGGCCAGTCCCTAGTTCGAATGCGCGGTGGACAGCCCGAGACTGCGGCCGCGGCTGTGTTGGAGTCCCAGTCCAGTCGACGAGTGGTGACGAGCGATGGGGAAGGTCACCTCCCTTCCCGAGCCTTTCAAAAACGGGCTCGAAATATTTCCAGTTCAGACCAGTAATCGTGCAGCTGTTCCCCATCTGGCCCGATTGGTGTCTTTGCAAATCGGGTTAATTTCTCCAGAAAAATGCCTAGGCTCCATCCTGCCTCCGCCCGCGCCCGCGGCCGCTTCCTCCTGCTTCTCGCGTTCCCGGGTGGGTTTTCCCTTTCCTTCTCCTCTGCTTTCTGGTCGGGCCCCACTTCTGGCTCTGCTTCCCTCCCCCGGGTCTCGGATCCCCCCTGTCTCGAAGAGGAGGGTGAAGGAACTTTGACTTCTTTGTAGGACCAGTTTGGGAACCAAAAGGGATTGAAGCAGGGGTAGGGACCTCTACGTCTCTTCAGAGGCCCGGCCCGCCAAAAATACCGAGGGCTGGATTCAGAGCTCGGGGCCCAGGGCTCAGCTTTCAAGACTGGGGGCTGGAATAGAATCCAGAGCTGGAAGACGCACTCCGGACCAAACAAGACTAATCTGTAAACATTCAGTTTGTTCTTATTCCCAGCCCGGGCCTCGGCCCCCCGCGGGTGGTTAAAAGACCGGCCCAACTCTGGGGATTAGAGTCATCCCTATGAACAAGGAACACGGGCCTCCCTCTAAAACAAGAGTTCTAATCTTTTCTTTGTCGTAGATCACCCCACCCCACTCCCTTCTCAGAATATAATTTTAAAATAATTTAAGGAAATGCTAAATTCTGCTTAGAGGTTAGTGAAAATAAAGATCTATTTTTTTTCTCCATCCAAGTTGATGGACCCCCTGAAATCTGTCCACTGACACTACTCTATGAAGACCTCCATTCGGCTTTCCTCCGTCGCTCGGCCCCCACCGCACATCTTCCCTTCCATATTGCTCTTTCTAGCCCGGAACCTAGGCCCAGGCCACCTCCTCCAAGCGCTCCTGCACCCTTCTCCTCCGAAACCCGCAAGATCGTAGCGCCCAGTTGGGGTTGGACGGAAATGGGTTTGCAGGGCAGAGGAGGAGGTGAGGAAAGCCACCGAGAAGAGAGAGCCCCCTAGACCGGGACAGCACAAGGCGTTGGGGGAGGGGTGAAGGAGGGAGAGGGAGAGAGGGGGAGACAGAGAGAGAGAGAAAGAGAGAGAGAGAGAGAGAGAGAGAGAGAGAGAGAGAGAGAGAGAGAGAGAGAGAGAGAGAGAGAGAGATGGATGGATGTCTGGGCCCCTACGAAGGATTAAAGACAACGTCCCAGAATTGCGTCCTCTCTTTCCCAAACCTGCTCCACAGGACACCAATTTCCCAACACAGTTCACACCCATCCCCTCTTCCCACAGCTCACATCCCGCGTGTTATGTTCGCTATCCTTCCTGAGCACTCCGTCCAGAGCCAGTTCTGAACTCAATTCCCTGTCGGGGCTCCCCTCCAGCCGTGCACTTCCCCTCTGGCTTACCCAACGGACCAACCCTGACGCTATGCTCCGCTCCTCAGTCCCTGTGTGAGCGCCTCTCCCCACCGCTCCTGCATCCGCGTACTTCCCTCCACTCCGCGCAGGACGTGCTCACACTCCTCCTCCGGGCCGCTTTTTCCCTTTTCCGATCTCTTCTAGCTCCTTTCCTCCTGCTCTCTGGGTTAGTGCGGGTTTGGAAGCGCGCAGCTAGTCCAGAAGGTAGGGGGGAAGAGATTCACCCGAGTCCAAGAATCACAGGTCTGCCTGAGACCTCACAGGTAATCTAATTAAGCGGTACCTGAACGCAAACATCCCCTCTGCATCCTACCGGCAAGCGGCCACCCAGCTTTTGCTTCAACACCTCCAGTGAGAGGGGCCCCGTTATCTCTCCTACGAGGCTCATGCCGTTTTAGAATAGCGTTCCTAGTTAAGACGTTTACCCCCTTACATCAAGGCTGTATTCGCGGCTTTGCAACGTCCACCTTCGAAACCGCACTCACCAGCTACTGAACAGGAAGAGCAGTGTATTAAAATGCCTTCTGAAAAGAGAGACAGGTCTGGACCTGGTGTTATGGGAAGACTGGCGCACCAAGGGAGGGTGAGGAGGTTTCAGGTGGAGCACCGCAGAATTGTGGGGCGGGTACAGTACAAAATTCAGATATTGTGGCTATGTCTGCGTCACCCCAATGGTTCCTTCGTGTCCTCTTCCACCCCCCCACCCCCCGGCCTTTTCGTGCTCACACAATTTCCATTTCCATTATAAGGTAGAAAGTTGTCTACTTTTTTTCTTATGCATGGACTTGGATTACTAATTTGTCTTTTACATGTTCTTTCATTTCTTGGGCACATTTTTATCTCACTCCAGCCCTTTACATCAGGGATTTTTCCCCCTCCATCCCCCACTGGCTGCTCTCAGGGAGACCATTTCCTTGGGTGTCCTGCATTACCAGAGGAAAACCCTTGCGAATTGCTACCCTGAGTCCTGCTTTCTTCCCACACCCCTACGGAGGAGCTGAGAGGGGGTCACAGAGATGGCTCCACTTTCTCCTTCTTCAAAGTTCTCATTTTCATCAAGACTAGCTGGGGGAGGGGGAGGGGATGCAGTGAATCTATAGCTTTACTGTCTGATCCTACCTAGGACAGCTAAAGTGAGTTGCATTGTGTTTGAGCCATCCCACAGTGGAATTCCAGAAAGTCCGAAGGAGAACTTATTGGGTGGGAGAGGAGGGGTGGAGGAAGGGGGGGAGAGGTTTGGTCCCTTGGGAAGGGCTCATAGAAAGGATAAGCACCGGAGGCAGCAACAGCCTGGGGTGGGCAAAGTACAATTCCTGGGACCTCTATTTCAAGGTCAGATACCCTTTCTTTCCCCTAACCCTAACCCTTCCTCCCCCGCATCGTAAAGTACATTTCACAACACTGCAGACTTTCGCTAGGCTGAATCCTTGGTTTCCTCCAGGATCCATCTGGAGCTGGGGACCCTAATGGATCTCCAAAACAGACACTCTCCTTGAACCAAAGTCCCCTATCCTCCCACTAAGCCCTATTTCTCAAGCGGCTCTCCGAGCAATGATGTCTGCATGTTTTTGCCAGGAATTGGAGATGTATTTCCAAGCCATTATCCTTTTGCACATATTCCCTGGTTGTTAATGAAGTTCTTATGCCTGGGAGATTTTGTTATCTGGCTGATCAAGACCTCCCCAAAGTAGGCTTCAACGATTGCCCCTAGACAGACCTCTAGACTGAGATTTGATGCCTTCAGGCCAGTGCTGCTCCCCCTACACCTTCCTCTCCCCACCCCCACCCCAAATTCACACTAAACAACTCACTCTCCAGTTTACCAGGCAGATTCCTGCTTGCCTCTAAGAAAGGTTTTGCCTGCTAATGTTAAGGAAAATATGCCCAGTTTGCCTATATCTTTAATCAGGGAAGGGGGCACAAGAAACTAGGACATGGAAAATCTAGTAATTCCGCCTAGAGCCTTCCCTAGCTTCCCTAGCCTGAAGCTGGCCATGTGATCTTGTCACCAAAATTCCCAGGAAACTGTCTCTCTCCACTGGACCTCAGAGCAGGGTGAGGGTGGGAATGGGGCCAGTGACAGGGAAGGGGGATGTGAGAGTAAGAGAATGGTACACTATTCCTATAGCTCTCTTGGGATAGCCAAGAGGGGAATTTTATGCGGGCACTTCTGGGTATCTGTTGTCCATGACAGTGGGTGGAGGGAATGGCTGTGACCTATTTTTCACCATTCCCAGGACACAGTGGATCTCCACGAGTGCTTTCTGAGAGAGAGCATTAACATGCCAAAGTGGAGCTGCTGGGAACAGTTCCCAGCCCACAAATCGATTACCCCTTGCTCATTCATTTTTGGGTTGTGGGGGAGAGGCTAGACCAACTAAGGAAGGAGACAGGGGGGAGAAGGGAATGAGACTGAAAAGGGAAGAGATTTTGCCTTCATTCCTCAATTTGTCTCCAGCTGTACCCCTTTTCTGTTCCATTCATGCCCTTACTATAGGTCTTATCATGACCTCCAACACTTCCTTTATGCTCTTGACTTCCTTTCTATGATGGGCCCATCAGGAGATCTGGAGTTATTTGGAGACCCTGCAGGGCCTGGAATCCTCTTCATTGTCTCTCTTCCTCAGAGGCCCCCATTTCTGTCAAGCTGGATTGCAGTGAAGAGAACCTCAGTTTTTAATTTAGTCAACAAGGTCAAGATCCACAGATTGGGATGGGGATAGGGACAGGGAGAGACATACTATTGGAATCCTCATCCCTTGAGGCAGAATGTTCTGGTTTGCTTGAGATGTTGGATAAATTCTGAGAGCTTGGGGTTTGGAGTTTGTCCCTGGGGTTTTTGGCGTACCTGGTCTTAATGAGGAATGGATTCCAGTGGATGGGAAATAAGATTGCTTGAAATCAGGATGTGGCTTCTAGCCAAAGGGGTGGTGGTGGTAGGGGAACTCATCAACCAACCCTTTTGCTCACCAACCCCCTGCCCAGGGTGGCCATTCCCAGACATAAGCACTAAGTCTGGCACCCCGGGAGAGACATCCGCATGGAACATTTCCCTGAGGCACATCTCAGTGCCTTCCCCCGGACTTCCAGACCCTCTAGGACCTGTTCCCTATTCTGTTTTATTCTTGCCTAGACCACAGAGCACATGCTCCCCCAGGGCCCCCTCCACAGGCAGCCCTCCAGAATGCCAGGCGCCTGCTGAGGAGGGAGGGAGAGGTGGAGCCAGGAGATGTCAATCTCCCCCCTCCCCATTCCACCCACAAAACCCCAGAGTCCCCCTTTCCATCCCTCCCTTTGTGTTTTCCATTACAGCAGAAGAGAAGGTCTCCAAAGTCACCAGCTACCCCCCACTGCCTCTAGACTGTCCAGAAGGCCCCTTGGAGGGACCCCCAGAGCTGAGAGGCTCCCCAACACCCTGCCTGGCCAGGCTCCGGGGACCTCTGAGCCCCCAGCTCACTGACTCAATGGAACTGCCCAAAAGCAAAAACAAGAAACGGAGAAACCGAACTACGTTCAGCACCTTCCAGCTAGAAGAGCTGGAGAAGGTTTTCCAGAAGACCCATTATCCTGATGTGTATGCAAGAGAACAGCTGGCCCTTAGGACCGACCTGACCGAAGCCCGGGTACAGGTGAGGGGGATCCCTAAAGGCTCAAGTCACCTCTCTTCCTGTCATTGCCCACTTGGAATCTCTTATCTTTACAGAGCAGGAGATGGGAGACACAGAAGGGTGGAGATCGAGGGTGGGCCAAAGGGAGACCATACAGGTATGGGTGACATTGCTATAAAGAAAACCCTTCCAGGGGATTTCTCTGACTGGGCTTTGGTGACATACTCAAGTCCCTAAATTGAGAAAATTGACTGTTTGGTGGGGCAGAAGAAGGGGGTGGTAAAAGAGGGGTTCACGTCCCACCTGAGAAGTAGTTGCATAGAATAGTAGGGTCCCCAGGGACAGGAGGATCTTACACTGTCATCCCTATTGGTTTCTTGACTCTTGAAAGGACCCAAGCGTAACAAGTCTGGATGATCTGTTCTCTCATTTCCTGGGACGAAGCCTCCAGGGTTTGGTCTAGCTTCCTGGATAGGGCTCTGGGAGGAACTAAGAATCTTATGCCCAAGATCTGGGAAAGGGGAGGAGTTAGAGATTGGGGGAGGATGGAGCCTGAAAATATGGGAATGAATAAGGGGTGATATCCTAAAGCTACATCTCGTTAATAAGAGGAAGCTGTCACATAGGTTTCCCCAAGCACCCACAAAATAGAGCTGGGATCAGAATGGTCAGGGAACCTCTTCTGAATTAAGAAGTGCCAATCCCACAGAGATAACTGAGCAAGGCAAAGCCCACATTTGCCACAAACCCTTTGCCAGGCTGGGGAGTGGGGGCAGGGAGGGAGGGAGAGAGAGAGAGAGAGAGAGAGAGAGAGAGAGAGAGAGAGAGAGAGAGAGAGAGAGAGAGAGAGAGAAAGCCCTTGATTGGGAGACTGCTTTGAAGACAGGGATGAGGAGATGCTCTGAGGGAAGAGGGGCTGCTTCCAGACAGGGAGAGCAGAAGCAAGAGGAGGAGGTTCACACTGTCTGTGAGTCATTGGTGCCTTCTGGAAGAGGAGTGAATAGTGAGAGGACTCAGAGAGGAAGGAGGGGGACCACTCAGCATGAGCCTCTGGGCTGCTGTGTCCTACAGATGCCCATCCCAAGGAGCTCTGGCACACCCCACTGTCCCAATCCTTCCCAAAGGCCAGTCCTTGCATTAGGGGCCAACAAAGAGCCAACACCCTAAGGCAGGACCCCCAGTGCCCCACAGCTCTTGGTGGGAGAAAACTAGAGATAAAAACAACTTTAGAAACCTGGAGCCCCAGGGAGCTTTCAGCTGGTATTCAAGCACATGGGCGTAAAACAACTATTTTTCCTGTTGTAGACATGAGAAGACAGATGGAGACATTCCTTTCCCCTACCTCACACCCATTCCTTCTCCTCATGTAGGGTGATAGATTCAGAGCTTGGAGGAACCATAGAGAACATTTAGTCCAATCTCCTCATTTTACAGACAAGGAGACTGAAGTCCAGGGAAGTTTAGTAATTGGACCAAAGTCATAGAGGCAGCAAGCATCAGAAGCAGAATTTGCATCTGGGTCCCCTGCCTCCAGTTCTAATGCTCTCTCTGCTGTCTAGAGGGGACATTCACTAGGGTTTCCCAGCTCTCTGGGGCTAAATGGGAATCTTTCAATAACAATATTAGCTAAAGTTTATAGAGTAGTTTAAGGTAGATGCTATTATTATCCCCATTTTACAGATGAGGACATTGAGGCTGAGGGAGGTATTCTTTTCCTTGTTCAGGATTCCAACTCTAGCCCCATGGAGTTGAGTAATAAAAAACTATACACATACACACACACTAGGAGTAGGTTATGGCTGACAGGGCAGAGAACCAGTTTGTAAATCATTTCTCAGAAATGCTTCCAGGATTGGGTTGGAGACTGACATGTGAGAAAGCAATGAGAAAGCAATGAATCTAGAGGAATGGGGGAGGTGGTGATAAATGCCTCACCATACCCTTGCACCGGGGGATGTGCTGGGTTCTCTGTCACCCTGGGTATCTGTTCCACATGTGATTCCCCAGGGTTGGGGTATGCAGTAGTTGTTTCTTCACTCTCCAGCAACTATTGTTGGTGTTTGCTGGTACCTGACTCTTTGTGACCCTATTTGGAGTTTTCTTAGCAAAGAGACGGCAGTGGTTTGCTATTTCCTTCTGCAAGTCATTTTACAGATAAAGAAACTGAGGCAAACAGGGTTAAGTGACTTCCCCAGGGTCATGTAACTATTAAGTATCTGAGGCTGGATTTGAACTCAGGTCTTCCTGACTCCAGGCCAAGTGCTCTAACCACTGCACCACCTAGCTGCCTTATAAGATCAGGGGGTTGGACTAAATTACCTCTATGATCCCTTGTTCTACATCAATGATCCTTCCTGATTAGAGAGGAGAAGGTATTCACAAAAATATTCAGCTATACAAATGCATACAGACATGTACATGGATACACCTCGATACACATATATAGACACAGTCCCTGTAGACACACACACACACACACACACACACACACACACACACACACACCCCATGGTTAATAATCTTCACACCAGGGGCCTGAAGAAATGTCTAGAACAATGAGTCAGGTCTGGAGGAAGCCAATAAAACCCTTCCTCTATCTTGGACCTCTCCCAGCTCCCATCCCCTCACTCACATGATTGTGAGTGGTTTGTAGATTTATTAGCCCCCGTAGTCCAAAGCTGCATGAGGACACACCCACCTCCCATTCTGTCCTCTCAAGGTCCTCATTCTGGCTATTTGCCCTCTGAGCTCTCCACCCTCCATAGTTGGCTCTGTGATCCTGTGGAGCCCAGTTCCCCTTCCCAGTTGGCTGCCTCCCCAGAGGACCTCCCCATCTTTCCTCTCTTCTCCTTCTCCCTCCCCACAAAGGTCTGGTTCCAGAACCGAAGAGCCAAATGGAGGAAACGGGAGAGATATGGGAAGATCCAGGAGGTGAGGAACCCCTTCACAGCCACCTATGACATTTCAGTGCTGCCCAGGACAGACAGCTACCCCCAGGTAAGGTGGAGGACAGAGAGAGCCCCTGGGAACTCTGGGATACACTATAGCCTTGCCCCTCTTCTCCCACCAAAGCCCACCTCCCTCCATTGGGAGTTGGGATCTCAGGAACCTGAAGGTTTCAGTGCTTCCATGGGGAATGTGTGTCAGAATGTCTCAGACGAAGGAAAGGAAGGAAGAAGGAAAAAAAAAGGAAAAAGGAAAGGGAAAGTCAAATGAAAGCCCCTCTGCCAACCAGAAAAAAAGAATACCAGAACAGGGACAAAGAATCCTAGGCAAGATGTTAAAATTAACTCATTCCTTGTTCATTACTGTCTACTAGAGACTTTGAGCCTTCATCATAATATGTAGAATGGACACGAAATAATTAGCTTCACTCCAAGGATGGTGGGATTTCCCAGCATTGAAATAAGTGCATTTATACAGGGTCATATTAGAAATTATCCCTTCCCTGTGGGCTGGGCTGTAGACAGCTTCTCAGCTCACCTGTATCATTCTCAGCTCTAGAAGAGAAGAAATGTTGGGGCTCTTCTTCCTCCCCTGTGCTGGGCAGCTCTGCTGGAAAAAAAGGGTGGGAGAGCGCTCTCCAGGTTTTGTAGCATTTTTGATTGAAGCCTGAAGAAGAGAGGATCAGGTGAGGGTAGGGGAAAGGGGACTGGAGGGATTGCTGCCTTCAGGTATTAGAAGAATTGTCCTATGGAGGAGGGATTAGGCTTGCCCTGTGTGGCTCCAGGGCAGAACCAGCAGCAACCTGTAGAAGTTGGAGAGGCATGTATTGGGGTAAAACTTCCTGACAATTAGAGCTGCCCAAAAGTGGAATGGGCAGCCTCAGAGCTAGCAGGTGGGTCCTCTGCCCTACCCCACCCTTGCCCCGTCTTACTGGAGTTTTGCAGGAAGAAGCTGAGTGAGCACTTGTCAGATAAGGTGGTAGAGGGGGATCGTTTTCCCTTGATGGATACATACAACAACCTTTTTTACAGAAAAGGAAACTGAGTTTCAGAGAGATTAAGAAACTTGGCCCTGGGTCCTTTCCTACTCTGAGATTCTGTGATTTTGAGCATTCAATTTCAGCATTGCACCCCCATTCCCCATTTTCCGTTTCCATATTTCTATAGAACACTGTGTTTTCTAGGCTAGATTTACAGTGGAGTAGAGAATAATATGTAAACTAAGAAATAGCACACCAGGGTAAGGTCATTAGTTCCACACTAATACATTTTTAAGATTACCTCTTCATTCCTAGATTGAGGGACATTCTAGTTTTCTTAAGTGTGCTCTAGGGCATCTCCAGCCTCCCATACCATTGGAAAGTTGGGGGAGAGGCAGGAGGTCTCTCTTATGGCCCTGAAAGAGACAGTGCCCTAAAATGCCCAGCTCATTTGGAAGCCGAAGAAAACTAATTTATTCACCAATTCTATCATTCCCACCTGACTCCCAGCCAGTCATTGTTACTGCTTTCATATTTCCTTTCCTACAGAATCACCTGAAAGAATCAGCCAGAAGGATATAGAAGCTTTAAAATCAAATCCTTAAATAAAAGTCATCAGGACAGTTCATCCCAACAATACAGAAGACACCCCAAAGTTTATATAAAGACTTCCCCTCTCCCCTTCCCACTTTATAGCACTTCCCCTTCTTAATCCAAGGCATTAGGGCCACAGCATTTTAAATCACTTTTGTTGGAAAAATAAGAATAAATGCCCTTGGTTTTTTAGAGCCCAGGAGTCCTCAGTCCTCTGTGCTTAGCCCATTGACAATTAGAGCCAAGGAGGCTTCCCTGATTACCTTAGCTGTTAGTACTTTCCCCTCCCCCCCCATGATCTTTGTAGGTACTTACCTGTTTTTCATGTTATAGCCCCGCCCCTCCCCAAGACAGTCAGTCAACAGGCACCTATGAAGTTCCTACTATGTACTGGACTCTATGAAAAGCATTGGGGAAAACTCTCTCTGCTCTTAGGGGACTCACATTCTAAAGGGGGAGAAAACCCCTTTTGTACAATGCATGTACAAGATATATATGGTGTACCTAAGTTCAGAGGGAGAGGTAGGAAAGATTTCTTTCAGAAGGTAGGATTTAAGCTGTCTGGAAGCCAGGAGAACCTGGAGACAAAAGAGAGAAGGGACTCCCTGTGGAATGTTATCTCTGAGGTTAGAGACGGTGTTTTTTTTTGTTTTTACCCTCATATCCTCAGTGCCTAGACTGGTGCCTTGCCCCAATAGGTGCTTAATAAATGTTTGTTGAATTGAATATGAAGAGATGGACGACTTGCCACCCTCACCACACCTTCAGCCTGGCCGGGTCTAGACATGCCAGGAGCTGGGTACCAACAACAATGATAATATGACTCATATTTTGTGTTAAGTCCTTTCCACACAATAGGTTGGAAATGTAGGCATTGTTAACCCCACTTACAGATGAAGAAACTGAGGGTCAGACGGGGGAAGGATAGTGCTAGCCCTCCTATCCCCTTTCCGACTCTCAAGTGGCCCAAGGACCCAGGTGGAGGTCCTTCTCCTCTCCTGCCTCCCCACCCCACTGCACCCCCATCCCCTATGAGGTCAGGGTGCAGGAGTGATACTGAAGAGTCCATTCAGACCCCACCTTGTCTGAGAGCTCCTAGAACCCTCTTCTTCTCTCCTAGGCTCTGGCAAGTAGCTTCCCCACAGTGTGTGGTCAGGAGCCTACTCACTGGGCTAACCCGCTTACATTATGTTCATCCTCTTCATGGCATAGGGAAACAACACAGGGGTAGAAACAAGCCAAGTTGTTAGTCTCTTTTCCCTAAAAGGAGGTGGGCTGAATGCTTTTTGAGGGTGGAGGATAGGGGGAGGAAAACACTAGATAGCCGGGAGTGAGTGGCCAGGCAGATAGAGAACCCTACCTCCCTAGGTTCAAATCCTGACTCCGATCCATGGTGTCTGCATGACCCTGGTCAAGTCACTGAATCACACCCTCTGTCACAGTTGTACAATGAGGATGTTGTCATTGTTGTTCAGTTGTGTCCAACTTTTTGAGACCCCTTTTGGGGTTTTCTTGGCAGACATACTGGAGTGATTTGCCGTTTTCCATCTCCAGCTCATTGTACAGATGAGGAAACTGAAGCAAACAGGGTGAAGTGACTTGCTCAGGGTCACACAGCTAGTAAGTGTCTGAGTCTAGATTTGAACTCAGGAAGAAGAGTCAAGTCTTCCTGACTCCGGGACTGCAGCTCTATTCACTGTGCCACCACCTGGCTCTAATGACCCCTTTATCACTGAATTGTTAGGGTCAAATGAAATAGCCCATGTAAAGGGCTTTGTAAACTTTTAAGCTATTTATGTAAATAAATGCTAGCTATTATTATAATTATAATATTAGATATTAGATGTGGGAACAACTTTCATTGCTTTTGGGCTTCTTGAAGGCAAATCTATTATTTTCTCTGGGAGGCTCAGAGTGAGAGGGCTCTCACCTGGGAGCAATTATTGTCTTTAGTTGTTGTTAAGGAAACTTACATTTAAAAATTTTTTTTGAGATTGAATATTTTATTGTTTCCTCAGTTATGTGTAAAAACAATTTTTAACATTCATTTCTTTTTAAATTTTGAGTTCCAAATTTTCTCTGTCCCTTCTTTTACCTCTCACTCCTCCTGAGATGGGAAGCAATTTGATATAGATTAGACATGTTCAATTGTGCAAAATCTATTACCATATTAGTCAGGACATTGCCTTTTGAAGGTGGTGAATGACTTGTTTTTGTTCAGCTGCTGTTGTTAATAGTAATAGCTAACATTTATATAGTGCCTACTCTGTGCTAAGCAGTTTACAATTATTATCTCATTCAATTCTCATCGACCATGGGAGGAGGGTACGGTTATTATCCCCATTTTACAGATAGGGAAACTGAGGCAAACAGAGGTTACTTGGCTTATGCACGGTCACACACCTAGTGAGTATCTGAGGCCAGATTTGAACTCAGGCCTTCCTGACTCCAGGACCAAACTCTATCCACTTTGTGACCTAGCTGCCTAGAAACCTCAGTGTCCTAGTCTGAAGATGTCGTGGACTTGCGATTTCTTTGTTGTGAGAGCTTCCTCTGTGATTATAGATCATAACCCTTCTATAACTTAAGAGATAAATCCTAGAGACTTGCCTGAGGCCCAGAGAGGTTATGTTTTTCAGTCCTACCACAAAGTTGACAAGTGTCAGAGTCTGGATTGAACTCAGATCCTCCTAACTTCTATTCACTCTCCCCAGATGTCTTTCTCTTGTGTATAAAATGATAGTGAGATTTGTTCTACTTATTCAGTAGCATTTTGGGGAGGAAGGGGTTGGAGTGGGGGGTTGACTGGTGCTTTGTGGACCACACAGCCTTGCGTCCATATGTGTTTCTATTATCATTTCTCATTGGGCGGGAAGGAGGATCATCCAGGGCCCATCCTCCAGATGTTCTGCCTGTTGCCCTATCATTGGGTTTACCAGACTTGCATGGTGAAAGGTGATAGGGAGAAGGCACTTTGAGAATCAGGAGAGAGAGAGAGATGGCATCTGGCCATGGACTCTACTGCTAACTAGTGTATGGTCTCACTTTCTTTACTTGTAAAATGAAGAACTTGAAGGGCAGCTGGGTGGCACAGTGGATAGAGCACTGGCCTTAGAGTCAGGAGGACCTGAGTTGAAATGTGACCTCAGACACAGAACACTCCCTAGCTGTATGACTCTGGGCATGTCACTTAACCCCAATTACCTCACCAAAAAAAAAAAATGAAATTGCAGATTAAATAAAATGAAGAACTTGGTCCAGGCCATCTTGAAGGGCTGTATTAGAGATGAATGCCCTGGCCCTCGTTGGGGTTCTTCCTGCGTATCGCTGTGGGCAGTGCCACAGATGATGGATGGTAAGAGGCAGAGAGGCCCTTAGCTTCCCCATTGAAGACTGGGGGAATGGTTGCATTTTTGTCTCTCTCCAGAGTCTAGCATGCAGTGTACTTAAAGGGTTCATCAAATGCCTTAATGTTTGCTAAATACCTGGGTGTTGACTTCAAAAGCTAACGCACTACCTACATGTCATTTCAGCTGCAGAGCAACCTGTGGTCCAGTCCAGGGTCAGGGAGCCCGGGGGGCCCCTGTCTGATGTCCCCAGAGGGGATTCCATCCCCATGCACGTCACCGTACTCCCATTCCCATAGCAATGTGGCTGGCTTCATGGGTGTGCCAGCCTCCCCGGGACCTCCCCCAGGCATCTATTCCATCCATGGATTCTCCCCAGCTCTGGGGGGGCACAGCTTTGAGACAGCCCCTGATGGTGACTACAAGTCTCCCAGCCTGGTCTCATTGAGGATGAAGTCCAAAGAGCCACCTACCCTCCTCAACTGGACCACGTGATCAGGCCACCCCAAGACTGGACTGCTCCCTGCTTGGACTGCCCTAAAGACCTTCCTCATCAGATGCAGCCAATCCTTGCTTTTAATCTAACCCCCACCCTCAACCCCCATATACAGGAGAGGGATAATTTATGCCTCTATTAATTTCTAGACAGCAGAGAGGGCACATCACCTACCCCTGGTCTGCCACTCCCTCACCCAACCTACCCCCCAGACAGAGAACAGCTGTGCCCACCCCAAGTCTGGCAGCAAACTGCAGTTTCCTTCCTTCTTTTCTTCCTTCCCTTCTTTACTTCCTTCCTCTTTTCCTCCCTCCTTCCCTCTCTCCTTCCTTCCTTTCCTTTTTTTTTTTTTTGCTTTTTCTTTTTTTCCCAGGTAGCTCCAAAGAGAGAATAGGAGTTTTCCACCTGTCTAGGAATATCAATAGCTGCCTGGTCCCCTTGCCCATTTTTCTAGACTGCTCCCCATCTCCCTGGTTCTGGGGGAGATGCAGGAAACAACTGCTTGCCCTCCTCTGAGGCTTTGCATCATTCAACCTGCAACCTCCCCGATGCAGAAGTCCTGGCTTCAGGTAGAGTTGGGGCCCCAGGTAGATGAGGTAAGAGCTAGGTTGGCGAATGCTATAGAATATTAAGAATTTCCTCCATCAAAAGTGAGGAACAAGAGGAAGGGGAGGAGCTGCTGAGCTCCAGTTGAGGAATAGCATTAAAAGAATAAGACAGTAGGCAGCCAGGCTAGCACCCGTGGTCCTTCCCACTGTGCCAGTGACCCTATCAATGCCCTTTACACCTTCCTGAGTGATTTCACGTACTTCCTCCTGCGTGACTTTCAAAGCCATAGTAAGAAGGGTGCTCCGCTCTAACAGGTGGACCTGCTCCATGTTTTCTGATGGCAGCACAAGGCTTTAAGGCTGGCAGAGACCACAGAGGTCCTTTAGTACAATCCTTGGTTTTACAGATGAGGAAAAAGAGGCTTAAGTAAAGAAGGTTAAATGGCTTGCCCATGGTCACCGTGGTAATAACTCTGTTGAGTTAGGATTTGAACCCAGATCCTCTCTAGGTCTTCTCATACCATTCCATTGAGGATGGGCATAACTATTTTCCAACCCCAAAAGGTTTCTTACACCCACTCCCAGTCCACAGCAGGAGAAGGGAGAGTAAGGAGGAACCTGTGAAATGGGATGGGATGGCATAGGGGTGGGACAGGTGGGGAGGCAGCTGAGATGATCACTAATGAGGCTTAATGGCATGATCCATTAATAATTAATTAATGATCCTTAATGGCATAAGGTCCAAATCCTTAGTTGATAGAGTGGGAACCACAGCCTAAAAATCTTCAAGGATGAAGAAAAGAATTTCATGATGTTGAGTTTTCCTCACCCCCATTCTCAAAGCTCCTGGGCTCTGCTCCCTCCCAGAGGAATAGATGTGGCATTTGGGGAGGCTTTTCCTCTGGGCCCTACATCCCTCCATGCCTGAGCCCACTTTCCCCATTAGTCTGTGGAATCATCTCCTGGCTCCCCAAGGAACTGAAATTCCAAAAGAAATCACCAAATATGGCAGTTTTGGTGAGCCCTCCCATGGTTTAGGTCCAGAGCTATCACAGAGCTGTGCCTGGCTGTTGCCATGGGAACACCAATGGTTTCCAAACCCCCTCCTCCCACACCCTGGAACCATTAGTTGGATCCTCAGTAAAGAAGAGCTGTGACCCAATTCATCTATGGTCTCCCCATCAGGGGACACCAAATAAATGTTGATCCCATGATATTCTAACCACTCTTATTTTGGAAAAAAAATACATCTGCAAAGATTTTGTCATTTGTCATAAACAATAAAGGGCTTTCTTTTTTTCCTTCTTCAGGCTAAGTCCTTGGTTGTTTCCAATCTAGCATGTGATTTCAGGACGTCATCACCTGGGAAGTAGAGGCCCTTTGCTTATCCCTCTCTCTGATGCAGAATGTTATCTGTATCCCTTCCCCCAGTGGGACCATGAAGCCAGAGTCTTGGAGTATTGGAACTTAAAGAGATTATCTAATTTGGGCCTCTTGTTCTATAGTCAAGGGAAGATTCTCAGAAAGGTGACATGCTTTGCTCCAGATCCCATGGCTGGTAGATATCGGAGTTGGGAAGAGAGTCAAGGCCTCCTGACCAGCCCCTAATCACATTCTGACAGTCTTTCCCCCAGACACATACATGTTCCTCAGCTCCTCTTTCAGGGATTCCTGGCCTGGGCCCCAATGTCTTGCTCCAAAGAGGGCCAGGATTGGTACTCCCACTCCTGGGAGAAGGGAAGGGCTTCATGGAGGGACTGGGAGGTGGTGGATAAAGTGCCAGACTTGAAGTTGAGAAATTGTTGTTCAGTCCTTTTCAGTCATGTCCCCATTCCCGACTCCATTAGGAGTTCTCTTGGTAAAGATATTGCAGTGATTTGCCATTTCCTACTCCAGCTCACTTTACAGATGAGGAAACTGAGGCAAACAGGTTTAAGTGACTTGCCCAGGGTCACACAGCTAGGAAGTGCTTGAGAACAGATTTGAACTCAGGTCTTTCTGACTCCAGGCCTGGTGCTCCATAGGTGCCACCTAGCTGCCTCAGATCTGGGTTCAAATTCTGCCTCAGACATGTACTAGCAGTATGACCTAAGACAAGTGACAACCTCTCTGTCCTTTGGTTTTCTCATCTATAAACAGAGGATGTTGGACTCAGTGTACCGGCCCTTTTCAGTTCTAAATCTGTGATCCTGTGGGTCCTCACCTTGCTGATCTATGTCCATAGCTGTTTCTTGGACACTGCTTACTGTCCCTAGGAAAAGCCAGAAGGGGAGAGTCGGGAGTGGAGGCCATAAATGGTTTAATACATTTTTGCAGACCAACCAGAGTTGTCAATAGGGGGAGTGTCCAGCTACGCCGGTCTGGCTTGGTGCCTTGGCCCCACGTTCCGTTAGCCATTACTGGCTGAGCAGGGGCTAATAGTGCGGCTTTGAGTATTTAAAGGACTTTCCTGTGGAAGAGGAAATAATTTGTTCTGCTTGGCCTCAGCAGTCAGAACCAGAAGCGGTGAATAGAAATTTCACTTGTGATGAGGAAAAACTTCCTAACAATTCGGGCTGTCCAAAAGTGGAATGGAGCTGCCTCCCTAGAAAGTGAGTTCCCCACCTCTGGAGGCTGTTTGGAGGGATGTTATCTATTTCAACTCCTTCATTTGACAGATAAGGACACCAAGGGCCCAGAGAGGGTGAGCAACTTACCCAAGGCCACACAGGTAGAGCCAGAACTCAAACAAACCTGTCCTCTGATTCCAGATTCAGCATTCACTAAGGGATATTCACTAAGGTGTGTGCATGTGTGTGAGGGTGGGAAGGGGTGAGGGGCGGTATGTAGGGTTTCCTGCCATGCATGGGATGAGAGAGTAGCTGGTTGTTTCCTGCTCCCAGACAGCCCCAAGTCTCAGCCTGTCTGAGACTCCTCCAAGCCTCTTGAGCTGTGGGGCATCGACAAAAGCCAGGGCTCTTTCTTGTGGTTTCTGGGTATTAACCATTCAATCCTCTGCCTTATCTCTTCAGGCGAGGGAAACACAGGCTCCTGTGCCCTGCACCACTGCGGTAAACACAACCACGTTGCACAGAAAATCTCAGCTTCCCCCTCCTCGACAACCCCTCCCTAACTCCTCATCTTTCAGGCCTGGAGAAACCCAATGGCACAAAGCCCCACAGTCCAATTTTTATCCCCTGTCAGGTCCTGGAGAGAAATCAGTGCATATTGGGAGACAGATCAGATTTCCTGCCCAAGACCTTCCCGTTGAGGAGATAGTAACAGGACCCAGACATCCCCAGCCTTGCCCCCACTCTGGAAGAAACTGGCATTTCCCTCCCCTCCTCCCCTTACTATTCTCTTTCCTCTTCTGGCTCCAGGAATCAGAGTGCCAAAATTCAGGATGGGAATGCCTTATCAATCTTGAAGTTGTCTTGGGGTTGGAGAGCTGGGCAGAGAGCATGTGTGAAGGGCTGATGGCTTAGGTCATGGGAAGTGTCTGAAACCACTTCAGAAATGTACCATATGGCCCTAAAGAACGTGGGTTCTGGGGGTTAGTGGGAAGGCCTTCCACGTCTTGCTTGGCAACTTCATTCTGAGGCATTGTGGACAGATCAGAAAATGCCAGAATGGGCATCAGGGCCTTCCGGCGAATCCCCCCCCCCTCCCCTGACTGGACTGAAATCAGCTGCCTCCTGCAGAGCTATTACCCCCACTCCCCTTCAGGCTCTAACTCAGAGGGAGGTGACAGTGGGGGCCCAGGACAAAGACCTTCCATAATCCGCTTGAGAGGGATGGTTAAGAGGCCTTGGAAACCCTCGGAGCCATTTCCCACCTCTCCCAGTCACCAAAAGTACAAAAGCATTCTTTGGAGCATAGAAAAAGAAAGCCCCTGTATAAGCAAGGTTGAAGCAGGGTCCTGATAAGACAAAGGGGACTCTTCATATCCCCCCCTTCTCCAGTGCTGAAAACCTGAACTCACCTTCCTTCAATGTGTCAATCCCCTCTACCTCTATAGTCGAGGGAAGATTCTCAGGAAGGTGACATGCTTTGCTCCAGGTCCCATGGCTAGTAGATATCAGAGTTGGGAAGACAGATCAGATTTCCTACCTATAGGTAGGGGCTTCATTCCTGGGACCCCCGAGTGTTTACACGAGGCCAGGAGACTCGTAGTCCTGATCTATTCAATTCAAACTGGATTCCATACAACATTTACTTGATTCCTACCTAAAGAACAAGTGTCTGCTCCTTAGAGTGGAGACCCATTTTTAGAGGGAAGAAAAAGCATGAATGAAGACAGTCCCCAGTGTCTTCCGCTAGAATCTCTCCCCCATTCGGGAAGCAGCCAATAGTGGCCTGGCACTCCTCACAAGCCAGAGAAAGAGATAGAGGCAGAGACAGACAAACAGAGAGATAGACACACACCTCAGGATATGTTGTTTTCAAAAGCCAGTATCTCAGACAGGTGATGGGGCTGGGGGCTGGGGGCTGGGGTGGAGCCTGAGGGGAAAAAAGAGCCAGAAAGGAAGCAGGAGGTGGAGAAGGCAGAGAGAAGGGGGGAGGACGGGAGAGAGTCTGGGAGACAGAGACAGTGACAGGTAAAGAGAGAGAACAAGATGGAGATGGTGGGGAGGGCAGGGAGGCCAGGCTACTGGCTCCAGTCCAGGGGAGATCGGCCCACAGCTCATATTTCTTTGTCTGGTGACAGCTAAATGAACAGAAAGCTAACTTTACAATCACTGGCTTCACACGTAATGAATATGAATAGGCATTCACTGAGCTTGTCTCTCAGGCTTATCTCGGAAATGATGAGTCTCTCCCTCCTCAGGTCATCTCCAAGCCAGGAGTCAGGCCAACCTCACAGGACAGGGATGGCTGCAGAGGCTTCCACCTGCTTCCCATTAGGCCTTGGCCTGCTTTCCCAGACTGCTCTCTCTTCTGCTCCCCCAGAGTTATCTGTCTGGACCCCGGAGATCTCAACTGCTGCTGGAGTCCCGCTCCCCAAGCAGGCTTTGTTCTCCAGGCTGCCCGCCCCCATGTCTCCCAGAAGCCCCTTCTTTCCAACCAGACCCCAGGGGAGAGAGGAAGGAGAGGATGGTGAGGCATGTGGCAGATGAGGAAAAGCAAGGCAAGGACCCTGAGTAGGGGGCCCTTGACTTCACACATCACTCCTGGGGCCTGGAGTCAGGAAGACTCGAATTCAAATCCAGCCTCAGACGCTTAGTAGCTGTGTGACCATGAGCAATCACTTAGCCTCTGTCTGCCTCAGTTTCCTCAAAAACAGTAAAATGGGGAAAATAAGATCTATCTCCCAAGGTTGCCATGAGGTTAAAATGAGGTATTTGTGACTAGCACACAGTAGGTGCTTAGTAAATGCCTATTTCCTTCCTCCCTCCTCTTCTTTCCTTCCTCCATTCCTTCTTTCCTTTCCTTCATTCCTTCCTCTCTTCCTCCCTCCCTTCTTTACTTCCCTCCCTCTTTTTTAATGTCTTTCTGCAATGATGGTGGGTAGAGGATTTTATCGGTCTTGCCTCTGGATCACACACTAGAAAAAGTTGTCCTGAATTGTGAGTTAAAAGATCTGGGTTCGACATAAGAAAGACTTCAGATCCTAGCACCAGCTGGCAGTTACGTCTTCCTATGACCCACCATCTCCCCAGGCAGGAGATAGCTTCAGTCACTGTCTCCCGGAAACAGGAAGCCCCTAAAGCTTGCAGCTCTGGGCAATAATTCTGATATGCCATAACCTAGTGATGGTTCTTCTCCCACCAAGGACTCCCCAGAGCTGTGCCTTCCACTCTCCTCCAGAAGTGCCTCTGGGAATACACATCCCTGGATCTCCCATGAGGGAAGGCTATTGGAGTAGGGTTAGAGATTTAGGGAAAGGAAGAGAAAGTGGGAAAAGAGGCCCCATCCCTAACCCCACCCTCTTGGAAACAAGAGGTAGGAATGAGTCACATTTCCCAGCTCATAGCCATACACTTTCAATTCTCAAGTCCTCCCTTCTCCCCTCTTCCTTGTCTATTAGGCTTCTGAATCTCAGTCGCAGGGGAATGAAATCTCCCGAACCATTTGAAATTACAGTTCAAGTCTTCCCTGGCTGAGACCTAGAATGGTAACTGCTGCTTCTTAGAGACATTTTGATCCCCTCTCCTCATTCCCAACCATTTACACAGCCACCTGAATTACAGCCCTAAAGACTAGACCTTCTGCAGTCCCCAGCTCACCCTGGGGGCCACAGGGACTGGAGTTGGCAAAGGCCTGACACACTGACAGGGACCAAATGCTTTGAATGGACTCCTGGTCCCAGAGGACACACTTTCTCCAAATGGCTGGATGGCCGGGTGGTTGGGCCAGGCTTCCAAGGGATACATGATGTGTTCTAGGGAGGCTTACATTTCCCTAAGCCCCACAAAGTGTGGGCTTACAAGAAATGGGTGCTATTCAAGCACAGGCTAGCCCTGGGCTAGCTCCTTTCTTGTTAGCTCCCCTATCTGTCAAGCCTTGTTCCTTTATCCCAACGGTCTTCATCCTGCTGAGCTCATGTTAGATCAGTCTTACCTCCTAAGCCACCTAACCTCCTTCACAGAAAGGAGCCCTGGAAAAGCCCAGGAGTTCCTATGTCCTCATACAACCGTGTTGATCACCAGCATCAAGTACCTCGTGCCTACTCTGCACCAAGAACACACCTAGCGAGGGTGGGCCGATGTTTGCAAAGCATGGCCAGGTAGCACCGTATTGCACAGAGGTGGCAGAGGACATCCCAGCTCTCTGGCTTCGGGCATGACCTAAGTAGAACCTGGCAACATGGTACATTGGAAAGGGCCCAGGACTGGAAATCTGCAAACCTGGATTTGAGCCCTAGCTCTGCCACTAACTAGCCCTATGGCTTTGGACAAGTCACTTCCTCTATGGGCCTTAGGTTCCTAACCTATGAAATTAGGTGGATGGATTAGCTTATCTTTAAGGTTCCTTCAGTTTTAATATTTTAGGACTCTACTGCATCCATCAGGGAAGATATGGGGAAAACTGAGATGGATAGGCTTAAGGAAGCAGGAAATAATCAGGCTGGATGAGCTGAAGGACACAGGCATCGTGGCAAAGTAGAAACATCAAGACGCTACCAGCTGCCCACAAGTGAAACCCAAGGCCCTCCTTCCTCACACTGGCAGGGAGTAGCAGAAATTCCATCATGCAAACCAGCATCATCAACTTCCCTTTTCCTAAGCAAATTTCATTTTTGGGCAAATGGCCACCCAATCACAGCAGCTTTGTTTTATACAGACCCAAACTGCAGAGACCACAAAATTGGCACCAGCTCCCCTCAATGGCTCACAGAGTTAACTCTGCTTCTAAGAGGTGCTGAAATATCAGATCATCTCTTGAAAGCTCGAGAGGAAAGTGCCCATTTGAGATCTCAGAGATCAGGGGCACAGCAGAGTGTGGGCTTCAGATGGGGGAGGGAAGAGATTCAAGAACTCATGTGCTCTGAAGGGGAAGAGGGCAAAGTCAAGTCATTGAAAGCAAGCTAGAAGAGGCCTGTATTTATTGAGAACACAACAGCTGACCCATGGAAAGCAGGCTGAGATCCTAGTCTGTGGTCCTCCATCTGAATACATGCCACCCTACTGTTGGACTCCACTGGGCTTCCTCCCAAGTCCCTGAGGGGTCACAAGCTACCTCATCCTAATGAGACAGTGCGATCAGATGGACGTCCGTCAGCGTAGAGGACAGCCACAGTATTTCAGAAGCCATCTAGTTCAATCCATACAACAGAGGAATCCCACTGCCCCAGCCCTGTGAAGTCCCCACCCCAGGGGTACAGGTGCTGTTTATGAGGAATCTAGCCCATGTCACCCCTCCAAGGGAGGATGATGGTCAATGTCATAGCAGAACCGACAGGTTGGAAGGACAGGGTAGGGAGATACAGAGATACAGAGGCAATGGCCCATGGATAGATCCCTCAGGGCCCTTCTTCTTTATCCCCAATTGTCTTGATGCTATCTACTACTTCTTACCATAGATCAAGTTTTCTTCTCTCTCTGGAAAAGAAAAGGGGATGCTCAGTGAGTCCAGCTTCAAAGACTTAGCCATGGCAGCACCAAGGCCTAGAAGGCAAGCACCCAAGTCATCCCAAATGAGCTGACTGGTGGGCCCAGACTTGCCACAGGTCTCATTCCCCAAAGTTAAAGCAATGGCCATTTTTTTTTGCTTTTTAATGTAAATAAAATACATAAATACATTTAAAACCCCAGAGTTACACAACAGAACATATATATTTTATAGATAGATAGATAGATAGATAGATAGATAGATAGATAGATAGATAGATAGACAGATAGATTGATAGATATGTACAGGACATTGCAAACAGAGGGGGAAGACAGTTTCCCTGTCTGAGGGTAATGTCTGTCTCCCATCCTGATCCTATCCAAGGCAGATGTGCTAAGGCAGCAGCAGCCTGGACCTCTGCGATAGCTGCTTGGAAGGAGGTGAGTAGGTAGCTGGAGATGAATCCGAAACCAAACCAGCTAAGCGCCCTGACAGCGCTTTCCTGGCTGACCTCTCAGCCCTCTTTGAGGCAGGCCACCATGCTTAGTGTTTTGGCCGAGCTAGTGGATTACCCCTGAAATCTGGAGGATGCTGTGGGAAGGGGTCAGAGGGCTCTGCATGTATTGGCCTGCAGCTGTTCAGTCATGGCCAGCCAAATGTTGCATGGGAAAGGAAAGGTGGCTCCTTTCCGATCTGCAGAAGAACATCCCTCCTGGGCAGGACACTGGGAAACCACCACCAAGAAAGAAGCCAAGCCCAGAAACTTCCCTACATCAAGCCCAGGGGCATCGGAGTTCTGCAATAATGAATTTGTAAAGATGGCACACAAAGCTACACTGCCACCTGGAGGATAAGGAGCAGCACTGCAGCAAATGCGGCCACAAGCCAGGGAGGGACACTGAGGCAGAATCTGGCCCACGGCATCATTATCAGGCTTCACTCGGTGCCAGGGGCTTTGGGCAAAACTTCACTGCAGCAGCTCTTCCCAGGAGATAGGCTTGGAGAAAACTTCCCTTTCTAGCCAGAGGTCATAGTTCATCTGGAAGTCCTCAGGGAGGTCTACCCGCTGGCCCAGGACACTTTGCAGGCAGTTATCCACAGGCAGGAAGTCAGGGTTGTTATGGGTCCGGTCATACCTTCGAGAGTTGAAACGTTCAATGTTGGCACGCAGCGCGCATTCTTCCGCCTGGAAGTCCCAGGGTCGGGCATCCAGATCTGGGGCAGGAAGAGGAGGGGGCAGAATTAGGAACAGTGAGGAGCCACTCTTACTGGGGACTTGTTGCAGACACTATCCACCATGAGCCCAGTCACGAAGGACAAATGAATGTCTGAAATCCAGGATATCTTAAGCATCGTCACTACTGTGAGGAGGTGACAGGCAAAGGGCCAAGGGAAGCCTTATAGAAATGAAAATTTTCAAGGATGTGAAAGATCATTACGTAGAGAGGAGATAAGACACTGCAATTTTCCGCATAAATTCAATTTAGCAAGTATTTATCAAGTGTCTACTATGTGCAGAATATTATACTATACTATAGGATATATTTGGATCGTGGAAAAGCTTCTAGACAGAAAACTTGAGGCCCACGAATGAATAAATAATTAAAGGAGGAAATGATTACTTTCACTAACAGCTGACTTTAACAAGCACGTAAAGGTTTTCATCATCTTCATTTGGTCCTCACAACAACCCAGGGAGTACTAGCACCAGCAGAGGGCCAAGGGAGGGGAAGAGATGAGCCCAGGCCACATGGCTGCTAAGTGTTGGAGGTGAGATTCAAGCTCAGTTCTGCTACTTACTAACTGTGATCTTGGGCAAGTAATCTAAGCTTTTCAGGCCTCAATTTCTACCTTTGTAAAATTCAAGGGTCGGGCTACATGCTCTCCCAGGTGCCTTCTAACTGAAAATTCTATGATTCTCCATACATCCCTGAAGATTTTTAATTTGTTCCTCCATCCAAGAGGTTTTTGTTGCCATCTTTGCAGAGGCAAAAAAAAAAAAGAAGAAGAAAATGATCTCATGGTTTCTCTGACTCTGTGACTCGGGGGAGAGCTGTGCCCTCCAGGACGCAGCCTCCACCTGCCCTGCCCTCGCAGCCTCACCGTTCCCATAGGCCCAGTCGTCGTTCAGCCGGTGCCGCACTTTCTGGTAGATGGCCGACATGGTCTTCATGTTGCTCTTCCGCCACTGGCGACCCAGATACTTGGTCTGCACCTTGAGCAGCTTCAGCACATAGAGCTGCATCATGGCTTGCTTCACCTTCAAGGCCCGTTTCAGGATGGGCGCCGACTTGAAGACCACCAGCATCTAGAGCCCAGTCCAGGGGCAGCAATTAACATGTCAGTTAATGGTCCTAATTCATCTCCAATCTATATGGCAGCTGATGGAGTGGAGAGTTAGGCTTGAAGCCAGGAAGACCCAGGTTCAAATCCTACCTCTGACCCACAGCCCTGAGTAAGCCAATTAGCCAGCCTCTCAGGGCTCCAGATATTTCTCTAAGACCACAAATTGCATAGATGTTGACCTGTATTAGCAGAGGGAGTTTTGTTACCTGGAACTTCCTGATAACCAATGAAATGACAAGCTGAGTTCCTACCTCTAAACCTAACTGATGAAAATGTCTCTCCTCCAGGAACTGAAATGAATTGAGGCCCCCCACCCCCACCCCCATCATCTAACTCAGGAGGAGATCAATTAAATAGAAATAAGTTGGATACAGGAAACCTGGAGGGAAAGAATTTGGTTCACTGACCAGCCTCTGGTAACCCAACCCAGCTCAAGGGACTTGTGGCCCACTTAGGGGAAAGGGAAAGCTTAGGGGGACATGAGACAACCTCTGGCCCTAAGATTCACACCTTGATGCTCTTCACTCACCATGGTCCTGGAATGCTTCCATTTTGTTAGCTTGTTCAAGATCCGAAGCAAATTGATACAAGAGAAGAGATTCCGCCAACAAAACTGGTTATTATCTCCAGCTTCCTATGGGACAAACCCAAGACGAGGCTATCAATGGTGAGACAAAAGGGCTTTTGTCAGCCACATCCCAGGGAGCACCAAGAGAGGCCCAGCCACCTCTCCAGGAAGAGGAGCAGGGCAGGCAGGGGCTTTCTGGAGGTGGCTCAGCACTGGGGAGGAGCAGTCAAACCAGGGATTTCCCTCCTGCTGTCTTGGTCACTAAAGCCCTGGAATTATACCCCATGAGGAACACAGGTCACCTCAGGGGGCTTACTACCTTCTATGGACTTGAGCCCAGGAGATTTTGAGCTTGGTATTCCCTGAATTCTGAGCTTCCAGATAGACAAAGCATAGGCCTTGGAGTCAGGGGATCTAGCCAAGTTTGTTAGCTATGCAGCAGTGGGCAGCACATCACTCTGCTTTCTTTGACCTTCAGTTTCCTTGTGTGTAAAATGGAGAGAATCTCACAGGGTTGTTCTGGTGGAAGTAAGTCCCAAGGCCCTAGAGAAGTGTGGATAAGCCCTCATTTCTCATTCTTCCAGCTCCACAGAAGGGCCTTTACAGGAAATAAAGAGGGCTATCTTGTGGGAGGATTCCATCCTTAGGACAAGGACCCTGGTCTCTCCCAGTTGGCTCCAAGCTGCCAAGAGTCAGTCTAGCCAAGTGCCCTCCTCTCTCCCCACTAGAGAGACGAGAACATTCACTCACCAAGCTCTCTGCTGTCAGCTCTGGTAGCTCATGAACCACACAGTGAGGGTAATCCAAAACCGAAATACTGCAGGGGTCAAGAGAAAAAAAAAAGACAGATATCAGACTGCACGCCGCCTTGGGGAGGGAGGGGGAGAAGATGGAAAACTCAAAAGCTTATGGAAGTGATGGCTGAAAACTAAAAATAAATTAATTAAAAAAAAAAAGATGAACCTTCATCATGTGAGATAACAGTTATCCTGCGAGGGTGTCCTGGGTCCTCTTCTCTTTTTCCTTTATGCTATTGTAGAATACTGGGCCTGGAGCCAGGAAGATCTAAGTTCAAATCCAGGCTCAGACACTTTCTAGCTGTGTAACTCTGGGCAAGGCACTTCACCTATTTGCCTCAGTTTCCTCATATGTAAAAAGGGGACAATAATAGCCACTACCTCCCAGGGCTGGTGTGAGGATCAAAAGAGACAATATTCCTGAAGTGTTTAGCAGCCTTAAGGCACTACACAAATGTTAACTATTTCATGTGGTGACCTCCTCAGCTCCCAAAGATTCAGTTCTCATCTCTCTGCACAGATGATTTTCAGGTCTGTAGGTCCAGCCCGGATCTCTCTAGAGTCTGAGCATCATATCATCAGCCCTTTGGATTTCTTGGATCGGATATCCTGCAGGCAGCTCAAACTCAGCTCCTCCAAAACAAGGGCTCGGTTATCTCCGCTTCTGCCTCCGCCATTCCTGTTATTGTCAGGACCACCGCCAACCTCCCCATCAGCCAGGCTCCCAAACCAGGTGCTGGTCCAACTCCTCACTCTCACTCATCCCACACACCCAAAATGTTGTCAGATCGTGGCAATTCTCTCTTTACAACATCCGTATGGATGTCCCTTTTCCTCCCTTCCACAGCAGCACCACCTCAGGCCTAGACCACTTCACTAGCCTGATTCTGACTGGCTTCCCCTCTCCACTGAGCTGCAAAGTGCTTCTTCTACGGCCCACATCTGATCATGTCTCCCTGCACCCACTTACTCTCCTCCACAAACTGCACTGTTCAGTTACATTGGCTACCTGTAGTTCCTCCCACATGACACTCCATCTCCCAAGTCTATGATTTTGTACTGACCCCCACGCCTGCAAGGCTCTCCCTCTTTACCTTCACAAAGAAGCTTCCTTGGACTCATTCAAAACTCAGCTCACATTCTACCTTCTGCTAACGGCCTTTCAGCCTTTAAAAGGCCTCCCTGTCCTCCAAGATTACTTATCACTTACATTTTATATTTTTTATGCACATAATTATTTGCAGTGTTGTCTCCCCTATTAAAATATGAATTCCTTGAGGACAGGGGCCTGTTTTTTTACTTTCTTTATGTCCCTAGCACTTAGCACACAGCTCTTAGTAAATGTTTGTTGACTGACTGACAGATGCCTTTGGGAATAATCCTGGCTGTTTTCTTTACCTTCTCCACCCCTCAGTTTCTCAGTTACAGACAACATTTGACACAAAATACTCTTGTCAATTCCTGTGTTCTTTCAGAGGCATCAACATTCCAATCATCTTGTACCTAGCAGACTTTGCCTTAACCAGGTGAAGATCACATCCTAATTCCTGGTAAGTGTGCCCTGAGGGTCAAGGGTTCAAATTTCACAAGGCCCAAATAGTTTTGGCACTGCCAGTACTGATAAGAGCCTGTTCTGTGGAAGGTCGGCGTTTAAAGGGCTCCCTGGGCCACTGGAGCCTACCTAGTGCTATGGATTGGAGTAATTGGTTCTTAAGCAGAACCCTGAGCTTGGTGCTGCCCAAGTGAGATCCATAATTGTAGGTCCCCACTGTCCTCATTCCTATCTTCCCCTTCCCTGGCTCTTGTTACCTGTTTTTGGCAGTGATGTACGACATGATGGTTTGATTGAAGAACTTCAGAATCAAAGGGATGCAGTTGGCAAACACGAGATGCTGGGCCATGTACTCAAACTGAAACAGAGAAGACAGTGAGGGAAGCCGCTGCACTCTAGATTCTGACGTTGCCAAGGGGTCGTCTGATGGGCAGTCTCTCTCGTAGCTAAACTCGCTCGGCTCGAGGTTACAGGAAGGGCAGGGCCCTAAGGAGGGGACGAGGCTGGGCACCCAGGGTACCTGGTAGACGTGATTCAGCTTGAAGTGCTTGAGCAGCAGCAGCAACACCGCAGAAATGGCCTTCACGATGATCTCTTTGTGGCGGTTAACATCGACCCCCAGTTTCATGCTCTGCAGCACGGTGGTTCTGAAAACATAAGGTAGGCACGACCAACTTAGCCACAGCACGGCGGTGACGCCAGGGCAGCCCAGAGCCCGCAGAAGGAGCAACGGTGTCAGACCATCTCATTCCATCCACCTCACTACCTCTTGGCAACTTCTTGGCTGCCCGGAGATGCTGGGCTCTCGGCTGCACTTCTCTTAGTGGAATCTCATTGGAATCTCATTGGGACAGAAGAAACCTCAGAAGGTTGGTTGGGTCCCCCCACTGTTCCCCTGCCAAATGTTACTCTTTTCTCTCTGGACCTGCCAGGTATGGTAACCTCTTCTAGCAGGGACAAATTCCTTTCTTTTCCTTTTCCCTGAAGTGGCAGCTCCTCTTGGAGATGAATCATGGCACCAAAGAAAAGCACTGGGTGTCGAGGCCAGAGAGCCCTGGGGCTGAGGCCCACTCTGCCCAAAGAAAAGTAACTCAACCCTTTGGGGCCTCTGTGAGTGAGGATAAACCTCAGGGGCACTTCTCCCTCACAGAGTTAGGAGAACCAAGGGATTTTTCACACCTCTTCCATCTGAGTCCCTCTCTCCAATAACCCTGAGTTCAAGCCCTCATCACTTCTTGCCTATGTTATTCCAACCACCTCCTGAACAGTCTTCCTATCTCAAAACTCTCATTGCTCCAATCTATTCTACACACTGCTGCCAAAATAATAAAGAACTGTCCATGTCACTCTCTGACTCAAAGCAACTCCAATGGCTTCCTACCACCTCTAGGGTAAAATACAAACTCTTCTGTTAGACTTTGATAGCCCTCCCAGCCTATCTCCGTAGCCTCGGTGGGCTTTCCACACTCTGTGATCCAAATGGCCTTCCTTCTGCTCCTCACCCAGGCCCATCTCTGGGCCATCACACTGGCTGTCCCATTTCTGCAGCGAACTTCCCTCCTTACCTCAGCCTCACTGAGGCCCTCTCTTTCTTTAAGACAGAACCTTTCCCAATCCCCACCAAATGCTAGTGGCTTCCCTCCCCAGCAACCTTGTACTGATCTGCTTTGCAAACAGCACTTACTCATTTTATATTCATGCTGTATATTTTTCTATCTGTATTGATCTTTTCTCCCATCGGAAGGGGGGCTTGTTTCCTTCTTTGTACTTGTCTTCCTAGTGACGAGCACAGATGCCTGGCTCAGGGCAAGTGCCCAATACTTGACGGACTGATTTAAAATAAAGGTGGAAGCTGAAAGTACTAGACACTTGCCAGCTGTCATTATTTTTCTGAGAGCGCCCCCCCCCCACACACACACACAGTGGACAGAGCACTGGATGCTACCTTGGATACTCGCCAACCAACTGCCCTGAGCCTCAATGTTCTCATTTGTAAATGCTGATGAAAATACTCGAAGCCCCTACTACCAGGAACTGTTAGGAGAAAAAAATGTTTCAAGCACTACAGAAATGTGAGTTATCATTCAGTGACACTTCAGTTGTATGACCATGGGCCAGTCCCTTAACCTCTCTGAGGGCTGATGTCCTCATTTGTAAAAGAAGGATAATAACCCTAGAAGCATTTTTCTCACAGGACTACTGTGAGGATGAAATAATCAGTTAACTAACATTTATTAGATGCTTATTACGTGCCACACTAGAAATTCAAAACAAAAAACAAAGTCTTCTTTCTTGTATATAAAAAGCTTTGCAAACCTTAAAGCACTTTATAAATGTCAGCTACAATTGCTGACAAAATCGAATTGTTTTTAAGATTTTAATTTTCTCTCCTTCCAACCTGCTTCTCACCCCCCCCCAATTCCCACACATGATCTCTAATTCAAAAAAAGGTGCTCTTAGAACAATAAGAGGTTATTGTCCTAGGGCGACCAAGGATTTCCTTTTATAACTTTAATCAGAACTGGAAAAACTCTGCTTACAAGTCCACTGGCTAAAAGGAGACACCCTGACTGAAAATGGTTGGCAAGCTGCTTGGGTCCTAAGGATACTACAGAATCATGAAGCCTGAAGGAATCTGAGGAAACATATAATGCCATGCCCTGTCCCCAGTTCATTTTCCAGGTCATAAAATGGAAGCCCAGAGAGGGTAGGAAATGTCTTGTACTTAGGCATCCAGCTAACCCACAGTGAGACTAAAATCCAGGTCTCCTGAATCCTAGTCCAAAGTTCTCCTATCATATTGTCTCCTCTGACTAGTCAATGTATTAAATTCTACCCAGGGCCACCCTTGAGCACTGAGAAGCTGACCCTGACAATTCTCTCAGTCATCTTCCCTCCCCTACTCCATTCACAGGAATGATACCTACGGCATCTCCTCAGGTAGGACGTCAGCCAGGATGTTAATGGAGTCTGTTTTGGCTTTGGAAGTGGGAGCAGCAGCCAGTAGGATTTTCAGCAGGGCAATCTGGAGTGGGAATAAGACATTTAGAAAAAAGAGCATGGGCTAGTCTAGGATCAAAAGGCAAAATTACAAGGTCTAGTTCTTTCTATATATACCCAAGTGGCTGAAGGAGGCAGCTGTGACCTAGCTATGGAAATTCCCTGAACACGAGAGAACAGGTGCTTTTCATCTACTAATGGATGTCATCACTTGAGGCGGCACATATAGAACATCCTTGGTGAAAAGGAAAAAACTACTCACCATGTACTGAGGCAGACTGGGGAGGAGACCTTGGTAAAGGGTTTCAGCAGGGACTTGCTCCACTTCCTCTTCTCCCTTTTAGTATAAAAGGTCACAGGAACAAAACCTCTATGTCCGATCAAACCTGGGCAAGCTTGCCTTGTTATCTGTCTAGCTGTGGGTCTGTGAAGACTGAAATGCAGGTGGGAAGACTCCCTCTAACTGACCTGTTGCCTCCTACAGGGCAGAGGAGCCTGAGGGTTTGGGAAGCTACTTCCAAGTGAACTGCCAAATGGACACCTCAAATTGGATATCCCACAGATATCTTAAACTGAACTTGTCCAAAACTCAACTCATTACCTTTCCACCCTCAACCCTGCCCCTCTACTACCTTCCCTATTACTGTAGAGGGCAACGCCACCCTCCCAGTCCCTCAGGCTTACAACCTAGGAGTTATCCTGGACTCCTCACTCTCTCTCTCTCTCTCACCATATCCCAATCTGACACCAAGGCCTGTGGATTTCACCTCTACAACATCTCTCAAACACTCCCCCTTCTCTCCTCTGACACTGCCCCCATCCTGGTGCAGGCCCTCATCACCTCACACCCAGACTATTTCAATAGCTACTGGTGGGCCTGCCGGCCTCCAGTCTCTCCCCACTCCACTCCATCCTCCATTCAGACACTGAAGTGATTCTTCCTAAAGCCCAGGTCTGACCATGTCACTCCCCTGCTCAATCAGCTCCAGAGGCTCCCTATCACCTCCATGATCATGCAGAAAATCCTATCTGGTGTTTGAAGCCCTTCATAACCTGGTCCCTCTCTACCTTCATCTTACACCCCTCTACGTACTCTGTGATCCAATAACACTGGGCATCCTTTCTGTTTCCAAAACAAGACCCTCCACGTCCCAACTCTAGGCATTTCCTCCAGCTGTGTCCCATGAATGGAGTAGCCTCCTGGCTCATCTCTGCCTTCTGGCTTCCTTCAAGTGGGACGCCTTTCCTGATCCCTCTTAATTCTAGTGCCTTCCTCCCCTCTGGCCACTATCTCCTGTTTATCCTGCATATACCTTGTTTGTACACAACTCCTTACATGTTGTCTTCCACATCAGATGGTGAGGATCTTGGGATCAGGGCCTGCTTTTTACCCTTCCTCGTATCCCAGCACTTAGCCCAGTGCCTGGCACACAGTAGGTTCTTAATAAATGCCTGCTGCGTGCCTGACTTCCACTTACCCCTGAGAGAGGAGAGCGAAGGTACTCCTCCTCCATCTGGGCCTGCACTTCTGCAATTGACGTGTACTTGTGCTATTGTGGAAGAAAGGAAAGAAGGCACTCATGTGTGGATGGGTCGCTCTCCAGACATCCCTCCACTGTGCTCTGAGCAGAAGAAGGACACAAAGCAGCTAGTTTTCCAAACATTTTCTTTTGAAATACAACTCTTTGAGGAGGGATGAGACCCTCGATGCAAAAGCCTGGTCCAAACGGGCATTTCTCACCTCCCTCTCCCTACCTGGTTTCCTGCCTCAGAGCAGAGAAGCACACATTTTAGTGGAGACTGTGAAAGGTAGCCAACCTGAGGGCAGGCAAGGAGGGACAGCTGACAGCCCGACAGAGAAGGGGGAGAAAGAAAAACTACAAAGGGCAGCCACGAAACCACAAAGACATCAGAGCACAGCCATCGAGGGCAGTAGCAAGGAAACCCTGGCACTTCAACAAGTCTGAGGGCATTCTGGCAATGAAACATGCTTGAAATTATGACCCTGAGGTACAACAAGGTTAAATTCAGTGCATCCTGTTTAAAAAGGTCAAGAAGTACAGAGTGTGGGGCAGCTGGGTGGCACAGTTGACAGAGTACCGGCCCTGGAGTCAGGAGGACCTGAGGTCAAATCCGGCCTCAGACACACAACACTCACTAGCTGTGTGACTCTGGGCAAGTCACTTAACCCCACTGCCTCACCAAAAAAAAAAAAAGTGCTATGTTGGAAAAAGCTGCCCACCAAGGTGGTTAAATGTCAAGTCTGGGGTATGTGAAGGGGGAAATGGTAAATTTATTTATGGGGAACGAATCATTCTCCAAAAAATGAGGCACTATAGTAAAACGAGTTTAAAAAGCACATCTTCCTAGCTTCCCACTTCTCGCCTCTGTGTTGGGACGGGACCAGTCGCATCAGAAGGTTCCTAAGGGCACTCACCAGCTTCAGGGTCCTGATGCTCTCATGAATCGGCCTGGGCAGCCCCACCACGGTGTTCGTGTCGCTACAAGGGAGAAAAAAAACAAACTGTCTCCTGTTCTTAAGTCTAACTAATCTAACATTCAAAGGAAGGAAGGAAGGAAGGCCACTTGGAGCAGGACTCAAAGGATTTCATTGTGCTGGGCGAGGGGGAAGAAGTGCCCACCCACTACTAAGGCAGTAATGAATGTAGTCCACACTTACCTGCCCAGTGTGTAGCCAATGAATTTACTTCGGCTGGATTCTAGAAACATCTCAATGTCTTTTTCTCTGCCGTAGATGGAAAGGGGAGATACATTACTGGATAGGTAAAAATGTACACTTCCTGGATGGGGGGGTGGGGAGTGGGGAGGTGACAGGTGGTGGGAAGGTATTGGGACTAACTTCTTGTTCTTCTCTTTTGGGAAAAAAACAAGGGAGTGGGGAGGAGAATCTAGGCAATATTTATTAAAGATTCTTTTACATCTAGATCTAAAGAAACTGTTAATTTAGGTTCACAAGATGTATTACTTAAAACTTGTTTTGCTCTCAGAATTATATTTGATATGTTAAAAGAAGAGTTCATCCAGATAATAACCTACAAAGTTACTGATGGCTTTACTTTGATTTAAATTAAAACTGCTGATCCAGCTCTCTGCTTCTATCAACTTAAATGAACAGGAAAATCTTAAGAAAAAAAGAAATCACACGCATTATAGCAACTCAGAAGATTTCCTCTTTCGGCCACAGTACTTCCCACACTTCAGATACAGAAAACACTCAGTTTTGGAAAAGCAGCTGTGGAAGAAAGTCTCATGTCTCCTTCTGATGCTTCCTTTTCATATTTTTATAGACTTCTGAAAACTGGAAGTTTGCCTGGACTGAGAAACCCTTCTCCACCTTTTCATATGTTCCTCTTTTTCTTTGTTTTGTGTATTTTCAAACACATATCAATTTCTATGTTATCAAGTAGAAACATGTCTGTGTATGTGTGTATGTGTGTATATATATATATACACACACACACATATTATATGAAGTCTTTAAATTAAACATTTTATCATTTAAAAAAAATTAATAACCCATTTTAAGTTCATACTACACACTGAGCCCCTGAGGAGAGGCAGATAATATCTTTTTCTTCAGGTCTAAGAAGAGGGGCTTCTTGCAAGAGTCCTCATTACCTGGAAGCTAACCTCTGGGGATGTGACCCCACGCACTCCCTAAGTACCATTGCTGGGTATGCCTTAATGCTTTGGCCCTGTCTGTCTCACACATACACCCTAAGGGCTGACACACGGCAGCCCTGCAAGCACACATGACATGAACGTCGTTGCCCACTCCTCCTGGGTCAGGGATTCAAGACTCACCTAACCTTGGGGGCCCAGGGCAGCCCCTTTGGGCAGGTGAGGCGGTCTGTCTGAGGGTGCTGCATGGGGGGAGGCATCACTTCATCCCGCTCAAGGGGAAACGTCTCTCCCTCAAGGCTGCTGTCGTCGTCATTCTCCTCCTCCTCCTCTCGGGAGTCATCAGCCTTATACGGATCCCGCTCATTGAACGCATCCAGGTTGTCTTGTTTTATGAGAGCCTGAAAGCAGGAGTCAACAGACAAGGAAAAGAGAATAGATGACACCAGGGTGAGTGACAATCGGAAGGACAAAAGGCATATGTGGCAGGGCGGTGAAATGTAAAGAATATCAGAGAGGAAGCCCTGACCACAGGGAATCCTAAAAGCTCTCAGGGATTGCCCCTTGGATGATGACGTCTCTGAAGGGGCCACCTTCTGCTGCTTTAGCCAGCTCCTACTTCACCAGCACCCCTGCCCCACTGCTAACCTTGTGCTCTCGACGACCCCGTTTCTGCTGCTGTTCAATGAGGTCCGAGGCAGAAGCGGGAGGGGAGGCTGCTCTCATGTTGCGAATCACCTGGATGCTGTCTTCAGGCAGAGGGGGGAGACCTAAGATCTCACGCTTTTCTGCCTTCATGCTCTGCAGCTCCTCGAAGCCTCCAAGTGTGCACTAGAACAGAGAATGGACACCATGAGCCTCTCCAGAGCTAGACCAGCTTCCAGGAATAACAGGATTATGCCCATCCGAACGACACCAGCCAACACACGCTCTCTTGACTTCTATTAAATGGTTCAAAGCACCCACTTAACCTTCATCTTTACGCTGTCCCACAATCTCTGAAGAAGGGTGTAAATCCATTCCAAGGGTAACTCAATGGCACCAACAGTGGATGAAGACCCCATGCCACTAGGACAAGTGGAATGATAAGCAGCTAAAGGGGAGAAAAGAAGCTGAGGAATCACACGGTCTGGAGGCTTCTAGAACAGCAAAGTCAGCCTGTCAAGCTTCCATGGGAGTACAAGCAATCCTGCAACAGTGGTCTCTCAAGGGGAGCACACAAGATGATCAATGGAGGTATGGGTAGAAAATGTTCAAAATTCTACTGACAGTTTTCTTTTAATCTAACAAAATTAAGAAATTAAGCTCAACTAGGAGTTAAGACTGGCATCTTCACACTGGCATCTTCACACAGCATATCGGATGGCCATGTGTGGCATGCAGAGTACACTCAGAGAAGAACGGGGTTTCACAGCACACTAACCATTGTGATTAGAAAGACATTTTAAACTACGGTTCTGTTGCTGAAAATGACATCAGCCATAAGTACGCTCATATATGCACACCTTGAATTCTGTAATCTGTTTAAAGACCTTTCAGATGGTCTTAATGATTTTTAAATACATTTGTTAAAATATAAAAATACATCTTCTGATTAGTTTGCAAAGACAGTTGATTCATCTGGGAAGATGGAAACGTGTAAGTCCAATCTCAACAAAAACTGCAGAACTAGTAGGTGAGGTTGAAAAATAAGACTAATGAAGTAGTGAGTTCAGCCAATGAGGTACTTCTTTCATTTGGATCTATGGATCACTGTGAAGCATCTTTTTCAGTGACAACAGCCATTAAAAAAGCAAGAACTGAAATACACTTAATTCATTAGAATCAGACCTTTAAACTGCTAAAAAAAAAAGCGTTAAGCCAAGATTAAAGAAAATATATATTTTTTAAGCAATTGGGGTTAAGTGACTTGCCCAGGGTCACACAGCTAGTGTCAGGTGTTTGGTCTAAGGCTGGATTTGAACTCAGGTCCTCCTGACTTCAGGGTTGGTGCTCTATCTACTGTGTCACCTAGCTGCCCCAATTTTTAAGAATTATAAAGCATATTCCACCACACTACACTGCCCTTACTGAATTATTATATAAAATATTAAGAATACACCAAAAGTAAAAAAAGAAAACTTTTTGCTCTCACTTAATAATAATATAAATTAGTGAGAGCAAAAAGGCTTTTATACTATTAATTAATAAACAATTTAAAAATAATTTAAAATACTACTCCACCCATATCATATTCTAAGTTCTTTTTTAAGTTTAAAATGTACACCATATATTAGCATAATAGTATAAATATACACATATTGTGGGTATGTGAGCATAAAGGTTTTACTGATAAGGGTGTGTGGATTCTGTTTTATAGAATCATAAATTAATTCCAACTTTAGGTCTTTGAAGAAAAGGCTAAGTAGGATCTGACACAGACATGATATTTCATAATTCCTCCTAAGTGAAATAATATGTGAAGTTTAATCTAACTCTTCCCCAGGGAAGTCAAACTCTCAGGCCTAGAGGCTTGGGCTGATTCTTCAGAACTTTGTAACACCCGGGCGGTTTCACTGTCTGGGGGTGATTCCATTTTCCTGTATGATTGGAGTGAATCTCTAGGAGGAAGCTGACAGCATGAATGATAAAAGATGAGACACAAGTAAACCAGAAGGGAGTAAGGATACCCCCTGGGAATGCTGGCTGGTGCTTTTGGTAGGGCTCCTCCTACACTTAAGGAGCCCCTCACTAACTTTGTCAAGAGTTGGCTCCATCTAACCAGAGAAGAGTGATTGACTGGCTGCTAAGGCGACAGATAAAACCCCAGCCCCTTCCCTTTTACCCAGCTACTTCTCCGATGATGGGAAAAGCTCCAGCCTCGGCCCTGCCTCTGATAACTAATGAGAGCCCCAATCTTGTGAGGACTGGTTGGCCCTCTCCCCTGGCATCACTCACTACCCTCTCTAGAAACAGATCAAGTTTCACTGCCCAGACTGAAATGGCTGCAGGATGGCTCATTGCTTATTCTCAGTACATTCAGGTGACATTTAACAGGAGGACATATTTATAGTAGCTTTAATCTCAATCACTTTCACCCCCCAAAAAGCTACAGGTCCAAGAACCACTTCTCCAAAAGTAGCTTCGTATGAAGAATATACAATCTCCTGCCACATTCTCTAAATCTGCATTCTCATCTGGAGACCACATCTTCATGGGTCACGTTAGCCACATGTGGCAGGCACCTCCTCTGATCAGTTCTGAGGCAGGATTCTTACCAATACTGTCTTCCAGAGAAGCAAAAGAACCTTCTTCATGGGGAAGTGAGGTGCATGTCCACTGCAAAACTTGGTCACCATCCCAAACAGCATGATGGAGAATGGCTCGTTGTTGTACAGGGGAGAGCCTGGAGGTGACACAAAGACGCCCTTCGGTCAGGGCCGCCCTCCGGTGCTAAAACGCTGGCTTCCAGCCACTCTTATGGACTTACAGCACATCAGCAGGAGTCATACCTAGCTCTGCTCGGAAAGTCTGTCTCATGGTCTTCCAGTCGGCTTTATCACTCTCACATTCTTGGTGAACGGTCTCTATAATCAGGTACATGATATTGAGCAGTACCCTGAGGACAAAAGCCAGTTCATAAACAGAACAGGATATGGGAAATAAGGGCCACTTCATCACATATCACATACTACTAAAAAAGGTACTTCTAAAATCTGCAGAAACACACGTACTGATGTGAAGAGGTCAAAACTGGAGGCTCCCATGATAAAAAGCCAAATTGCTGTACATCTCTCCCATTAGGTGCTTCAACTTCTTCAACCTTGATTATGACAGCATTTTAGGAACCTAGTTTTTCTCTTAAGTGCAACACCCAAAGGGACTGAGTCAAAGCAAGGGCAGAACCAGTGGAAGCTGAGATGAGGACTGGGTGTGGGGAGGGCAGAAAGAGGCCAGGACTGAGTGGGAGATGACAGTGGGGAGGAGGGAAGGGCATGGCAAGAGCAAGAGAAGTAACAAGGATGGGGCGGCATCTGGGGCTTAAACCACAGCAGAAAGAGAAAAGGCTCTGACCTAAGCTTCATTATCCTCCCCAGTTCAGAAGCGATCCATGGACCTTTGGTCAACAGCTATTTATGGAGCATCTACAAGGTTCAGGGCACTGTCTGGGTGTCACTGCTCTTCCTAGGACAACACTGCCCACAGAAGAATTCAAGAGCGTGTCCCTGACATCTCCCACTATCTGGCATTCGGCAGCGTCTTCTCAGCACGTCTGCTCCTAAAGGCTACATCTCTTGGAACAAGAAGGAGCTTTACAAGATAGGCTGATGCAGCACATTTACATTTACATTAACTTCACACCCGGCCCTGACTACCCTTGGCTCTCACTATCCCATTAACTGCTTACCCAGAGTCCCACCATACCCTGAAGATAAAATGTACATGGGAGAAATATAAATGGAAGAAAAGGAAAGATAAAAAATTTCCTCTGACCCCTGCTGTGGTTAGAATTCCCAACCCAAGCAAAAACTGCATTAGCCTCAGCCTTGCCAGACCCTCATCAGAGAAAACAGGCAGGAAAGCTCACCTCAGGTCAGTGCTGTCGGCCAAGGAGATGGCGGGCTTCCTCACAGCATTGCTGCAAGCTGCGCTGTTGCTAAAGTAAAAGAGAAAGAGTCAGATTCCTAAGGGTGGTATACTTCCCTAGCTGCTCCAGGAAAGATGAGGCTAAATAACTCAAATAATGGCAACATTTAAGAGTGCTAATCAGCTGGATCACCAGGTGGGCCAAGTTAGTTTTAATTACTTAGTTTTATTATTTTAGCCAAATAGTAGCTACTTTAGATTCAAACCCTTGAACCTGACAAAGCAAATGTAGCCATAACAGAGGCTAGAGGCAAGCCTGGGTTTGGTCTGTATGCTAGGTATTTGCCTATTCTCCTTTTTTATGAGGGAAATTATTAAGTAAACTACTAGACAGGAGAGTTAATAAATGGGAAGTCTTTTGGTTAAAATGCATGGAGGTGTTTCAATGATTTCTCTTTGGGGACTATTTCTAGTCCTGAAGATCTGAAATCAGGATTTTCCCTCTGTTGTTTCCCAGGAATGAGTAAAGGCTAGAGAAGTCATTCTCTGGAGCTGGTAGTCTAGACCCAAGGTGTCAAACCCAGCTTACTGTGGCCTTCAATGCTCCAGAACCAGAGGAAAATATGACTGGAAAATAGCTATCAAAACAAATAAAAACACAATGGACCACAGTCATGTTAACATGTGGTTTTCTAAGTCCATGTGTAGCTACTTTGGTGGGGTGTGATCTCACTGGTCCACACTGTTCAATGGTCCTTCTGCAGGCCCCGCCTTTATTTAACCCCAGATAAAAAGTGCTCACTCGATTTCCATGTTCAGCAGCTCCACCAAAGCATTGAACGTGCCCACCTCCAGGAGCAGGAAGACATTGTACCTCGACCAGGACTGAACTTCGGATTCGGAGGTACACTCACCAAAGGTACCTAGATACACACACACAGGACGCAGGTCATCACTCCGCACCCAGCTGCCTCAATGGGACAACTGTGACGCAAAGAAGGCCCATGCCCTCTGATGGCAGCCTCACTGACCTTGGGCAACGTAGAGGATTGCGCGGGCTACTTTGAGCCTCTTTTCCCGGGCAGTGACTTCTAAGCCATCCAGGAGCCTCATGGCATGGGTACGGTGCTGGTTAATGTCAAGTTCAGTCCACTTCTTATCTGCCACTATAAAGCAAAAGACCTAGTTAGCCTTAAGGCTGAAAAGCTGAGTTCTCTGAAGTGTATATAACTTTAATATGTTATAGTCAGGATGACCAACATGACCAGAAGTGTCAAAGAACATAAGGAGAAGTTATTCCCTGTGCAGAGAAGAAGCTCAATCTGCTGGTCTAAAGACATGACTATCCAGACCAGAAATGCTAATTTTTTTTCACCAGTATTGAACATGATTATAAACAGAAAGGGGCAGCTAGATGGTGCAGTGGATAGAGTGCTGGGACTGGAATCAGGAAGCCGTGAGTTCAAATCCAGTCTCAGATATTTATGAGCTGTGTGACCCTGGGCTAGTCACTTAATCCTGTTTGCCTCAGTTTCTCATGTGTAAAATGAGCTGCAGAAGGAAATGGAAAAACCATTTCAGTATCTTTGCCAAGAAAACCCCAAAGGGGGCATGAAGAGTCGAATATGACACAAATAACTCAGCAACAGAAACAGAAACAGATTTTAAAATTTATTTTTACAATCTGCTAACTTTTTGAAGCCCCTCCCAGATCACATAAGAGCAGTTAGATGCATGGGGCCCAGCTGAGTCTCTGCCTGGTGACTTGTGAGGCTACGTGAGTGTGTTCAGAGGCCTGAAATCTAGAGATGACTAAAGAAAACATAAACTACTGTAGCCCTTAGGAGACAGGTTGAAGGGAAAACAAGGGCAGGAAGGGAGGAAATCATCTCACCATGGATCCTGAAGTCTTCCTCAAAGCATTTTCGGTTCATCAGAAACTCGGGTCCTTCAGTGTAACTATAAAGTTCTACCAAAAACAAAGGCTTATTAGCTGCAGCCATGTTTCAACAATTCAACAGGAAAAAGAAATAACATAGGTTCTTGTTCTGATCCTGTTTCTTTAATGATACAAACTGATCTAGGCCCCTTACTATTGGGTACTTTTAGTTTATCTCATTTGCAAAATGGAAACAGTGTTGATTTGCTTCAAATTTGATTAAAAAGTGATTGAGAAGTTAAAGCATCACCAGACGCAGGTAATATATAATATTAGGCTTTTCACATCCTCACTTCCAACCAGCCTCTTCAGAGGCTAAATGGTGCCAGTCTGGAGTAAGTCTCTTCAAGGTACAAGCTATTTCTTGTATGTTTGATGCACCATGAGTGATTACTAAATGTCATGGACCATCCTTCACGTATACCATCCATTATGGTAGAGTTGTTTTTCTAGCAATGTAGATACCTTTGACTGATTCAATACTCTTGCCTGGCCTGAGATCAGAAGCATTCATCTCTAAGTTGGCTGATCATTATGATCTCATCATCAGCTCCCATGGATTCAACTGTCACCTTAATACAGATGATTTTCAGATCTATTTATCCAGTTCTGACCTCTAGTCTCACATCTCCAGCAGCCTACTAGACATTTTGAAGTGGATGTCCAATAGACTTCTCAAACTCAACATTTCCAAAACTGAACTCATTATCTTTTCCCCAAACCCACCTTCTTTCCACTCTACAGAGCATTTAAGTAGCACTTCAAAGTTTACAAAGCACTTTACAAATATTATCTCAATTTACCCTCATAACAACTCTGCAAAGTAGGTGCTATTAATATCCTTATTTTACAGATGAGGAAATCAGAGGCAAAGAGAGGTGAAATGGCTTGCCCAGGGTCACGTAACTAGTAAGTGTGTAAGGTCACATTTGAACTCAGGTCTTCCTGACTCCAGGTCCAGCTCCCACTTTATTCATTTACTCCCTAGACTTCCAAACTTATGACTATGGATGGCCCCTCCACCTCCCCAGTCACCCAGGCTCCTAGCCTAGGTGTCACCCCTGACTCCCCTACCACCCCAGATCCAATTGCTGCTGTCCTATCAATCCCATCTTCACAGACCTCCTTGTATGAGGGTCCCCTCTCCTCTCTGACGCTGGCTACTACTCTCCCTGCCTCCAGTCCATCCTCCACTCAGCTGCCAAAGAGATCTTTGTAAAGCACAGATTTCTAACTATGTCACCCCTCAATAAACCCTAACAGCCCTTTATTACCTCCAGAAGCAAATGAGAACTCCTGTTTGGCTTTAAAAATCCTTCAAGCTCTGGCTCCTTCCTATCTTTCCAGTCTGCTTACACTCTTCTCCCCTCCACATCCTCTATGCTCTAGGGACCCTGGCCCCCTTGATATTCCTCAAACACTCCAGTCCATCTCTCCATTGTCTGCATTTTCACTGGCTGTCCCCCATACCGACATTTTTCTCCCTCCTTATCACCACTTCCTTCAGGTCTCAGTTAAAATACCACTTTCTATACCAACCCTTTCCAGCTTCTCTCCACCCCCATCCCCACCACCACCCTTACGCCTACCAAACAGTTCCTTCCCTCTAAGAGTACCTCCAAGTTTCTCCTTTATAAATTTTCTATGTACACAGCTGTTTGCATGATATCTCCACCATTAGAATGAGAGCTCCTTCAGGGCAGGGGCTATTTTTGTTTTTCTCTGTAGCCCTAGCACAATGCCCGGTCCATAGAAAGTACTTCATAACTGCCTGCTGACTGACTCGAGGGATGTAGCCTGCTGACTTCAATAGCCTAATCTAACTGGCTTAAACACCCACAGATGCTTCATGAGAGGGAAACAATAATTTATGATCAGAGTAACTGGGAGTCATGAGATACTCAGTATCTGACCCAAATAACGAAACATTTCCCCAAAACGTTAAAACGAGTTATTCAGGAGTAGCATTTATTCATTCCAAGTTTGTGCTCACATCACTATTTCAAGTCAGGAGAAAATTTCCAACCAATTAGAAAGGCCATCCTTTACCTGAGAGCTCTGCAGCCCACTTATCTGTATCTGCATATTCAAATTCTAGGTCTGGGGACTCAGAATAGCCCTGTTGAGAAGAAGAAATATTTTAATATAAAAGGCACTTTTATATTCTAAGTACTTCTAAAATTGAAAAACATAGATCCTCCTAAAAGTCACTCAAGTAACACAGTAACACAATCTCTTATGCTTTATAGATACATCTAATGCTTTCCACAACAGCCTCTAACATAGGACCCACATGTGTATAGGATTATCTCCCCACAGGCCCTGAAAATTTAGGAAGCCTCTCTTTCACCTTACCCCACCTATTCAGCAGCAAAATATCTACTGAAGTATTTTGGTCTCGACTGCCCCTAAGATCTGACTGATGGAAACACAGCAGCAGTCACACAGAAAGGCTGCTGAGTAGAACTCAACATTCAAAGTACAGCAGAAAAAAATGCCAATTGACTGCAGGGTGTTAAGCTAGCTGACGGGGGGGGGGGGGGTGGATTAAGCACCTACTCTGTGGGAAGTCAGTGGGAAATGAAAAGAAACAAGCTTCCCGCACTCATTTTTAGTCTGAGGAGACAAAACTCACATGAGAAATGACAAGACAAACATTAAATTATAAATAACAAGCAGAAAAACCTTGGTCATATTTTATATAGTGAGTCCAAACACAGTTACCATTTATAGAGTACTTTAAGGTTTGCAAATATTTTATGCGTATTATCTCATTTGAACAACTACACACAGTAAGTCTGATATATGCGGGAGACTCAGTTTCCTCATCTGTAAGAATGGAAAAACACTATTTTTCACTAACTCCTCACAAGTTTGTGAAAAATGAAATTTTATAAATTGTAAAGCACTACATAAGTATAACCTATTATTATGATTAATAATTACACTTCCAACAGAGTTATAAAGAGGTTCCACTATGTTATCAAGCATTTAATTAAATGCCTACTACCTATGGTACCAGGTAATGTGCTTTGTGCTGGAGATACAAAGACAAAATAAATAGTTCCTGACTTAAAGAGCTTATGTTTGGGGGGAAAGGAGACAATACGTATGTATATAAGTACGTACAAAATAAACAATCATTTATTGGGAGGGGGGTAATTTAGGAGGGGTTTGTAACCGCAAATCAGGGAAGGCTTCCTGTAGAAGGTGGCATTTGAGACAGTGTTTTGATGGACACAAGGATTCAGAAAAGCAGAGGGGAGGAGGTGGTATACTCACGACATGGGATGCTTTTTGGGGACAAAGGCAGGGAGAAGGGAGATGGGAATGCAAGGTAGCCAGTCTGGCTGAATGAAAGAGTGCGAGAAGGAGCTGTAACAACAAGGATGGGAAGATAGGCTGGGGCCAGGTTGGGAAGGGCTTTCAATGTCAAACAGAGGAATTTGTAGTTGATCCTAAAGACAACAGAAAAGCACTGGAGGTTACTGAGGGCCATAGTAAGACTTCTCCTTTAGGAAAATTAGTGGCAGCTGTCTGGAGCATGAATTGGAATATGAAAGACTTGAGAGTGGGAAGACCAGTTGGGAGCCTATTGCAATAATCCAGGCAAGAGGCAATGGATGAGGGTCTGAACTGGAAAGGCTCCACAAGTAGAGGGATCAGGGTCAGAGGAGAGAAGTGTCATGGTTACAGAAATGAGATTTAACAAATAATAGGCTATGTGGGGTACAGGAAAAAGAATCTGAGGTTAATGCCAAGGCTGTGAATGGGAATGAATGAGAGAATGGCAGTGTCTTCTACAGAAACAGAAGGCTGGCAAAGGAGCAGGTTTGGGAAGAAATATGATGAGTTTCAGAATTGAACAACCTGAACTCTAAGTCTAATGACATTCAGACAATTCTAAAGAAAGGTAGAAACTATTAGTAAATGGGGAAAAGGATCTACATAGGGCCCTGCCTTCTACCTTTAGATAAACACATCTGGATTTCGATGACTTTGGAAGATAAAGTAAGGCTGACAACTTGGTGCAACTCTGCCTCACTTAAATCCAATTCACCCATGAGTCAAGATGTCACTCCATAGTGACACTGGTGCTCTTTGAAATGAAGGAGAAACAACAGCAACATTTGTCTCCCAATTGTCCAAACTGCCCTCTACTGGATCTTAGTAAAAACTGAGGCACAGGGAGTAAGACTGACAAACATTTCTGTTGCCTGCTGTTGATACCTAACTAGGGAGATGAGCAATTACTTCTGAATTATGAGGATACTTAATTCACCACTATAAAGGCCATTCCAACAGCTTCTTCTCAGTCTGGATCCTGCCTGAACATTGTCTAGCATCTGACATGGCCCCTCCCTGAAATTCTCTTTTCCCTTGGTTTCTATGACATCACATTCTGTTTCTATGCCTACTTCTTAGATTATTCTGTTTTCTCCTCAACCTTAGTAAATGTGAGGTCACAGGATTTAGAGCTGGAGAGTGTCTTAGAGATGATCTAATATACCCCCCCTTCCCATTTTACAAATGAGGAAACTGGGGCCAGGAGAAATTAAAAGGCTTGTCTGAGCTCATACCAGTTTGCGTAGCAGAAGTGGGTTTCTAACCTAGGTCTTCTAACTCTAAATTCAGCATTTTTTCCAAATTGCCTCTTGGTGGTCTCCCCCAAGGATCTTCCTTTCTGCATACACTTATCCACTCCTATGACTTTCGCCTTCACCTTTACAGGGATAATTAAAATCTCTTTTAGTCCTAACCTCTTGCATGAACCTTGGACCAGTTTTTAGCTCTCTTCTGGACATCTCTAAATCAATGTCCTACTAGCACCTCAAACTCAACATATTTGAAATCAGACTCATTATTTTTATTTCTCCTCTCAAGGATATAAGCACCTCTTCTGACTTCTCTATTTCTAATGTACTTACAAATCTCCTAGTCATTCAAGGCTCAAAAACCAGGCAATTAGCTTAGCTTTCTCCCTCTCCTTCAATAACTAGCCAATCACCAATTTCTGTGAATTCTACTTCCATAAGGCTCCTCCATTCTATCATTACCAACCAGTTCAGGCCTTTCTAGACTCCTACAATTACCTCCCAATTGGTCACAGGTTCATAGATTTAAAGCCAGAAGGGTCCCCAGAGATCATCCAATCCAAGTCACTCATCTGACCAAGGCTCAGAATTGCAGCGCCTTACCCAAGGGTACACAGGTAACAAGTAGCAGAGCCAGCATCAAAGCCAAAGCTCCTTCTATTGCTCCCACTTTTCCCTATTTCTAGTCCATTCAACACACCACCATGTGGTTAATTTTCCTCATGCACAAACAAGCCCGGTCATTTCCAGTGGCTCCTCACCGCCTACTAGGTAAAATCCAAATTCCTTACCCTACCATTCAAAGGCTTCCATAATTTGGCTCTAATTGACCTTTTTCGGTTTTCTATACCCGAAGCTTTGCTCAACTTGACCACCATTCCCTGTTCCCCAAACATGGCCTCCCTTCTTGCTCTGCTCACACACTACTACTTCTGCCTTCAGTGCCCTTCTCAGAACTGCACATCTCTACCTCACTAAAATCCTACTCCTCCTTCAAGGCTTAGCCTTATAACCAAATATCAACTTCATGTTGCCTTCCCTGATCCCCTCAGCTAGAAGTGATCTCTCTCTTCTAAATTCTCACTGGTGCTTCGTACTTCATTTAAAATGACATTTACCTGTAACATAAGGTGCAGAGATTGAGTCTTTTCTCCTCTCTAAGACAGAGAAGAAGCTAGGGCCCATGTCTTACTCATCTTTGTAACCCTCATAGTCTAGTATAGTGCTCTGCACAGACAGGGTAGGCAGTCAATATATATTTGCTAAATGAAAACCTTAGCAGTCTGTAAGAGTTTGTAAGCAGTTTATAAGCAAAATCCCTTTCTCTTCTACCCTAGCTCTTGTGAGAAGTCAGTACTGCTTTTTCTCAAGTGGCTCACATCAACATCTTCCAGCCGACTATAAGCCTACTTTAAGATCAGCCAATTTTGGGTTTGGCTTGCCACAGATACTGACTTAAAAGACAAAACTATTCAAAATGTGACAAGCATTTACCAAGAGCCTACTGTGTGCAAAGATCTGACTTAAAGACAAAAGTATTCTAAATGTGACATGCATTTACTAAGAGCCTACCGAGCGCAAAGATAAAGTATAGGCTTATTAAAAGACACCTGCCTCCCTCAGTCAGAATGTAAGAAAATTCTTGGTGAATGAGGAATACACTTTTGCTAGGATTCCCCTCTCCTCTCCCCAGTAACTATTTCAGTAGGTATAATTCTTTTAGAAAGGAGCAGCAAAGTGCTGGGGAATATGCTGATCAAGGTGACCTGATTTTAAAAAAAGAAAGAAACCAAAATGTGTATTTTCATTCATGAAACTGGCGAGGGGAGGCTAGTGGGTGGAATTACTCCCGGAGAAGGTGCATGACTCTGGAGTAACTAGCACTGGAAAGGGAACAAGGCAGACGGCAATGCTGGGGTTTTAACCAGGGCTCTTTCTGGTTTTTGACATATATATATATATATATATATAGATATAGATATATAGATATATAGATATAGATATAGATATCTATATATATCTATCTCTATCTCTATCTCTATCTCTATCTCTATCTCTATCTATATCTATATATCTATATATATCTCTATACGTCCAGAAGTTAGACGGTGACCCTGCCAATGAATGGAGGAGGAGGAGGATCAAGAGGCGCAGGGACAGGAGGAGGAGGCGTGTCTCCCTTTGGGTGACTTCCTCGGGGACAAGGGGACGACGGTCGACAATGACCTCTTGTCCATTCCGGAGGCCGACCCCCGGCTGCCCTCCCGAGCCCTGCCTGGGGAGCCCCTGGGGGCCCACGGACGGCGGGGACCCGGAGCCCGGGGCCGGTCCGGAGCGCTCGCTCGCCCGCCCGCTCTCCGGGCCGGCCCGGGCCGCGCCTCGCTTCCTGCTCCGGCCCCCGCCTCAGTGACAGCTCCGGGTCAGCGGCCGCCCCCAGGCCCCGCCCCGCCGGAGCCCCTCACACGCCCACCCCGGCGCGGCCTCGCCCTCAGACCCCCTGACCTCCGAGTCCTTGCGCTGGTTGCGGTTGAACTCCCGCCCTTTGCCCCCGGGCAGGACGCCCCCAACGCCCCCGCCGCCGCCGGCGGTCCGGGAGGCCACGGCCTGGGGCTGCGGGGACGTGGGGGGCGGGGGCGGCGGCGGCTGCGGCTGCGGCTGCGGCTGCTTGTTGTTCACGATCAGAGGGCCTGGCCCACCGCCTCCCGGCTCCATCTTGGCTCCTGCAGCCCCAGCCCAACTCTCGCACGGCCGTCGGGCCTCTACTCTCGCGAGACTTGACCCCCACCCCAGCCGCGCCCCCTCACTTCCGCCATGAAGAGTGTGGCGGCGGACGGAAGAAGCCATCTTGAGAGCGGCAGTCCTTCAGGGTCTCTTAGGCCGGGATCCCTCTGGGCTGCCCAGCATCACGACGCAGGGTCAGATTGTTGTAGCTGGCGAGTCGTTTTTCAGTCTAGTGACCCCATTTGGGGTTTTCTTGGCAGAGATACTGGAGTGGTTTGCCATTTCCTTCTCCAGCTCATTTGACAGATGAGGAAACTGAGGCAAATAGGGTTAAGTGACTTGTCCAGGGTCACACAGCTAATAAATGTCTGAGGCCAGATTTGAATTCAGGAAGATGAGTCTTCCTGACTCTAGGCCTAGCATTCTGTCCACTGCACCATCTATAGCTGCAGGGTCAAATTATGGACTCCTTATTTTCCAATGCTATTTGTTAGATAGAATTCATTATTTGGAGCCAGAGGAACTGGCTTCCAATCCTCTTGACTGCTGCTTTGAGCTCTACAATATAGGGGTAGTGGAAGGATCATCCAAATGGAGTTAGGACTTGAGTTCAAATGCCCCTTCTTTACATCCCATCTAAGTTTCCTTCTCGGTAAATAAAGGGGGGGGGGCATGCCAATCAATATACCAACAAGTACTTAAGTGCTATACTATCTTGGTGCCTCTCTATAAGGCAGCATGGCCCACGGGATAGAAAAGTGGTTAATTTCCCTTTCCTCATCTGTAAAATGGAGAGGATTGGGTCAGATGGCCTCTTAGGCTATTTCCAGCTCATGCCCTTTGGAAGACCTAGGGTTAGACCCTGCTTCTGACACATTCCCCCCAACCTTTAAGTTGCTTAAAAAAAAAAGGGCCAACTTGCACTGGACTTTTTTTGGTGTTTTGGTTTTTTTTTTTGGGGGGGAATTCCCCATACCAAGGAAATGACACACCCAGTCCCTGTCCCTATCCCCTAACAGGTAAAAAAGTCTGTCCTCTAGGTACTTTCGATCAATGAGGGCTGTTGCCTTTTCCAATGAAAACACAGGTCTGGTCCCTACCCTAGGTCCTGAGGGAATACAGAGGTGAATATTAGGAGATAACATGGGCATACACAAACAAAACACATAAAAGATAATGCCCTCCCTTCCCCTACACAGTTAGCAGGGGAGATTTGCCAGCCTAACTGAAGTTCCAAGGTGCCCTGAAGGAGAGATAAGATGAATCATATGCACGAACCATCACCACCTTGACCACCACCTTCCCTCAGATCCTGATGGGAACAGTCCAGGGCCTCTGAACCTAATAGCCAAGGGAATTAGTAATGCCTCCAGCCACTCCTGTGGAGATACGGCTTGGCAAGTGTTCCTGTAGGTACTACAGTCAGAGATATTGAAGACCCCAAAAATAAAGTAATTGTCACCAAAATCTTTGATCCTTTCCAATAGTTCAACATCAGAAAATAATGTGGTATTATCAATAGAAATGACATTTTTTAAACAGGCATTACCTGTTTTTGCGGAAGCACCTTGAGAAGCATGGGATCGTTCCACTGACTTGCTGTTGAAGTTTTTGTGTTCTATCCCCCAATAGTACGTAAGCTCTATGAGAAAAAAGGCCTGTGTCTCACTTTTCTATTTATACCCCCAGTGCTTTGCTTAAAAAAAAAACCAAGTGCTTAAAAATACTTTATTCATTCATTTACCAACAGCTGTCAAGAATGGCTTGTTGTGAGAGGCTCCATTTGAGCACCCATATAAACTAGGAATTCTCAGAGACAGGTGAGGAAAGAGTACATTGTAGGCATGAAGGACAGTGAGATGGGAGAAAAAGAAAGATGTGGGTAGATGTAGTGTTGTATGTGAGAAACAAGACCATTTTGGCTGAACCAGAGAGTTGGACAAGGAGACTAATATATGGTAGGTTGGGGCCAAGTTGGAAAGGATTTCAAATGGTAAATGAAGAAGTTTGACCCTGGAAGTAATAGGGAGTCTTAGACATAATAAAAGAGTGTAATGACGTGGTTAGACCTATCTACTACTTTGGCAGTTATGTGGAAGATGGATGGAGCGGAAATAATCTGAAGCAGGATGTTAGATTATTACAATAATCCAGGCTAGAGATGAGGAGCCTAAATTGTTTCGTGAATGATGGGACATTGTGGGATAGAAATGACAAAATCAGCAACTGGCTGGATCTCCAATATCCTTTCCAATTCAAAATCTCATGATCTCTCTCCTTTTCTTCTCTCTCCCCCCTTCCAATTGCCAAGAATATAGCCTGTGAAGCCCCACCAACACTTCTTCTAGGCTGGCGCCCAAGCAAAACTGACGACCAGGATGAAGGATTTGGTTGGAAAAGGGAGAGGACTTCATAAGGTTCGATGTTTACATAAACATGAAAATCACATGCAGATTGGCATTTTGGTTCTGGTATCAACAGATGATACACTTAATTGTAATAGGCCTGCTTCCATTCCCTGGGAAATGACCCAACACAAATATATATTCTCTCCAAATCTGTAAGAGTCAAGCTTTATCAAAACTTGAGTCACCTCTCTCCTCATCCAAGCACATCCATGAGCATTTGAAGGTCCACTGACTTGTGTTCTCTAAAGCTCTTTGCTAAGACAAACTCATGACCCAGGTATCTATCACATAGCTTCTTCCAAATGAACGATACTGATTCAGGAAGTTAAGGAAAATTCTTCTAGAATATAACTTCATACAATAGATTCATAGATTTAGAGCTAACAGGACCTAGTCCAACCAGTATGTTTCAGTTTCCTTATGTGTAAAGTGAAAGGTTTCTACTATGACTTTCTAAGGAGCCCTCCAGCTCTAAAATGAGGATATACTGCATTTCTTGTGCCATTAGATTGCTCTAGGGTTCCTTCTAGATCCAAACCCTGTGATAGTAATGGGACAAGTGCCTAGTTCCAAGACCAGAGACTGGTTGCCTTGGTAATATGAAAGTTCATCACCTGTACTGAGTGACCTTGTCCTGGAGGAATTAGAATGCAGGCTGGGGGGGGGGTGCGCCAGATCACCATTACCTCTGGGCCAGAGATTTGAGAGGCTCCACTCACTCCTAAGAGAAGTAGGAGGTGCAGCTTACTGAAAGAAGGGTCTGCTCACCTTAACTGTGAGCAAATATAACAAGTGGCTCTATGTGACTTATTTTTTATGAATGAGGCAGTCTGTTTTGATCTTTTTCAATGCCAGATTGATCTATGATCCTGCCAAATGTCTCATAACAATTGATAAGGAATGAAAATAAAATAAAGTTCATAAACTTCTGGTTAGCAGCATCATCTCCTTGCAGGAGGGACACAATATTACTAATGCATTTATAGCAAAAGTTTGTGGAGGGCAGAGAAGGCATATTCCATTAATAAGCACAGCATGCTGAAAAAGCCACCTAGTCTAAAGGTTTGTTTCCTCATGGAATAATTTGAGTCCTAGTATCATTTCTGACAGCCCTTAACTCTGATCTAAGACAGTATAAGTTTAACAGGACAGGATGACCCCTTTGATTCTCCCCAGTTGGTTAATTGGGTGGCAGAGTTGGCCTTGATGCCCTGCCCAGATGTCAAAGGATACAGGACATTCCCAACTCAGAGAATAGTAAGGGATGGGAAACCATGGATTATTCCCTGGAACACCTAAGCCATGGTGACCTGAGGTGAAGGGCCTTGGTAAGGGGTTGCCTGGTGAAGCCCAGGGTGGATGAAGAGGGATAACTGGGAATGATGGCGATGCAACACATTCCTACTGTCTTCCCAGTTACCTTGGTTTCTCACTAGACTAAGAATAGCCGACTCTTTCTGCTTCGTTTTCAAATAACCGACAAAAGAGTGAAAGGGCGCCATCTGGTGGATTTCCTCGCTGGCAGCAGCACAGAACCAGTTCCTGGAACTTTATCTAAGCCAGCACAAGTTGACAAGGGACCCACTTGGGGCAGGAACAGAAACCACTGACAACATTATCTACTCTGGCACCAACTCCTCTCATCAGGGACCAGTGAGGCACTTTAGGTTGCTGTTCAGCGCCAAAGACATGGGAATCATCTTGAACCCTACTCTTGGTTACTCTCTAGAGATGACTCTTTTCTTCCTACCACCCTTCACTCTCCATGTTCTATCTTCCACGTGGCTCTGCAGCTACTGTACCTTCAAATCCAGACCTCCAGAAACCATGCCACAGAGAAGACAAACCAGTCAGTTTTGGAACTCCCAGTTACTCTGTCAAAAAGCATTAAGTGCTTACTTACTATGTGCCAAGCACTTGTGCTGAGTATTGTACAAAGGCCCCTGCTATCAGGGAGGTCACACTTTAACAGTTAGAGGAGACAACATGCAAATATTATGTACATACAAGATGTGAACAGTCAGGGCGAAGACATTAACAGTTGAGGGGGTGGGGGTGGAGAGGGAAGGACCTCTTGCACTTGTCTTTTTTGAGCTGTGTTGACGGAAGCCTAGGAATCGGGAGGCAGAAGCCAGGGAGAGCATTGCAGGAAGGAGGAAGAACCAGTGAAAAGGCATGGAGCTGGGAGACAAGTGTCATGTTCCAGGAACAGCAAGAAGGCCGGTGCAGTAGGATCATACAGTGTGTAACAAGATGGGAAATGTCAGGTTGGAAAGGGCTTTAAATGCCAAACAGATTGCTTTATATTTGATCCCAGAGGTAAAAAAGGAACCACTCGAGTTTACCGAATAGGAACTGCTCAGTATTGAGGATGGCATGGTCAGGCCTGATTACTAAAGCAAAACCGCCCCTATCCCTTCCCCCCAGCCAAGATCCTGCCATAGCATTTCCTCCTGCTTTCCACCTCTTACTCTGGGCCTCATTTTCAAATCACTATTACCACTGATTTGGGAAAGGCCACGAAAATCAACTGTCCTATGGCTCCACTCTACAGCAGTGATTCCCCAGACTAAGATATCTTCC